GATCTAGATAGTTTTATTTTTTTTCTTTGGCGATTTCACCGTGAATTGCGCTTGCATCAGCAGGTGTTACATGATTTTTGAAAGAAATATAGCAAGAGAAATACTAAACCGATTTTGAATTTACTGGATACAGAGGAATAATACTCGAGTCATCAGGAATGGCAACGCATGGGGGGTATCATGGGCGAAACAGTATACTCTGTTATGTCCATGGTACTGCTCATGTCTATAGGCGACGGTTACCACTTTCCATCAGGTGGGCCGTCAGCTTATTTTCCATTCTAAGTTGTATAAAAAAAAAGAATAAATTTCTATGAATTATCTCTCAGTCATCCTCAGTTATGAATTTTCAAAAGAATTTATTTGTTACTTCTGTCATATTAATGTCCCGTGAAGTTGCTGAACTTGAATGACTGTGTTTCGCATTGAAGACGGTGTATAAATAGTAATATATCTCCTTGCCGCAAATTGTTTAAAAATGTACATGCAAAATGCATAAGTATTACTACATCTATTTACATGCACGTCTGTGGCAACATCCTTTCAGTTACACCTAGTAGAACAAATTTGTTGGACGATTCCATCGCATCCAATCAATCGATCGCCATCCATATTCATAGATTGCAAAGTTCGTCGCACCGTGGATGAGTCGTTGGAAAAATAAACGTTTATTTGTCCACGCCATTTTTAATGACAGCCCTTTGAATATATAATGTAGTAAATGTACATAATAAATTGTTCATAGTTACAGAATAAATATTGCCTAACGATGTTTGCATAGGATGAAGAGAGTTGAACTCAAAGAAAATTACATTTGAATTCATTTTAACGATCTAAATTGACTATTTAAACTACATTCAAAGTTGTTTCGATATATAGCGCGATAGACACAAAGCGACGAAATTATGAAGGTAACCCTTTTTGTCTTTGGTTAGTAGTTATTTTTTAATAGATGATAATTTAAATTAATTGGTGTTCCACAAAAAAAAGCTGGTCATATGCGAGTCGGTCTCACGCAATGAGGATTCCGTACAAAATCAAGTTTTTTTTTTTGTGAAACAACTGCAAATTTACGGTTTTCGGATTTTTTCCTTCACTTGTGCTACATGAGACTGCTTCTTGCCAAATTTCATGATTCTAAGTCAACGGGAAGTACCCTATAGGTTTTGATTCCCTTTGTAACTGTCAAAATATGCAATATAAATGAAACATAAACGGCCTTATCTTTTAATTACGTCAATTTAATGTTCCATTATTTCACTTCAATTATGACGAGTCCAGTTATCGTTATTATTTATTTATTTATTTGAAAATTACTCACCACACTTACAGTCTCCCAAAACGTGTAGTGAGCCATAGGTTTATTTTACAAACTTACAAATTTTGTACAACATTTTAAAAATTGTCATTAAATATATCAATATCTGGCTGCTGAGCAATCAGAGAATTGAGCAAAGAAATAGCCTGATAAGTGGGAGCAAACTGAGCAGTACAGGTGCGAACCGGCGGTACCGATAGTAGTCGACAAGCACGCAATCGCATGCAGCGTTGGGGTGCGTACAAAGAACAACGGCTAAAAGTTGCAGGATTGTCTATTCCGCCGTTGAGCAACCGATAATTATGACTAAACCGGTTTATAATTGACGGAATAATTAGATAAGGTGTAGATCAAAAAAATATCGCTCATCAAGCTAATCTTTTTTTTATGCAACTTAGATTGGCAAACAAGCTAACGGCCCATCTGATGGAAAGTGAAAACCGTCGCCTATAAACATGAGCAGTACTATGGACATAACAGAGTATACTGTTTCGCCCATGATACCCCCATGCGTGGCCATTCCTGAGGATTTGGATGTTAGTCCTCTGTACCCTGTAAATTCACTACCATATCCCACCCTTCAAACCGAAACACAATCATGCAAAAACAACTCAACTGCATCACAGTTGAAACACGAACGAGACGGAGGCATCCAAGCAAACGACTTTTCTACAAAGTCTCCCTCTGACCTTTGACCTGATATATTTGGACTCAATTATAATCAATTAATCAATATCGCGGACAATTGTATTGTATTGTATGCTTCCATCCATGCACAGCAGACGGATTAGCAACCGCAGTCAGACTTTAGAGATGTTTTAAGAGGGACGCTGCTGCCCATCCCTTGCCCTTCCTTAATCCCCTACGACATCCACGGGAAAAGAAGGCGTGGTCTATTCTATGCCGGGACCTCACGGCCATATATAAAGTATTCTATGTGCTAAATTAAAATTAATCTATACATGTACCAAAATTTTATTCAAATCCGTTCAGTAGTTTTTGCGTGAGAGAGTAACAAATATCCATCCATCCATACGTCTACCCATTCATCCATACAAACTTTCATATTTTTTTTATACCACTGAGATGACAAACAAGCATACGACTCGCCTGATGGCAAGCGGTTACCGTAGGCTATGAACGCCTGCAATACATTAATAGGATGCCATATATATTACGGGCGTCCATTACCACTATCAGCTATCAATTTGTTCGTCGCTCCCACTAATAAAAGAAGAAAGGTGACCTCTTATCTTTTTATGTGATCATTAATACCCCATATTAATAGCCCACGTAAATCCTAAACTAATGCTATTTTCTATTATTCCTAGAATATAGCGAGAAAATAGTAAAAATAGCCAATAAGGAAAATAGCAAATAAGATATATTAAATCTGTATATTAAGTATACATAGGCAATATATAATGTATTAGTAATAAAATAGTAATAAATATAATTAGAATTAGGTAATAATAATGTTAAAGATAAGCTAATACATAAGTGCATAAACGAATAAACAATCAAAATAGTAAAGGCAGACAGACAGACAAACAAAAAGTAAATCAGCAAAATGTATTCCCTATATATATATTCCCACCTAAGCTTACATACCGTTGTCAGTGTGTATTGTGTATGAACGTATATTGTCTAGCAAACCTGGTAATTAATATCCAGGCTTAAGGAAGAAAAAAAAACCTATTATCGTAATATTGTAAACATAAGAGTGAACTACCAGAGGGAGACTTTGTACAAAAGTCGATTGCTTGGATACCTCTGTCCCATTCGTGTTTCAACCGTGAAGCAGTTGTGTGTGCATGGCTGTGTTTCGGTTTAAAGGGTGGGATATGACGTGAATTTACTGGGTACAGAGGAATAACACCTGAGTCCTCAGGAATGGCAACACATAGGGGGTATCATGGGCGAAACTGTATACTCTGTTATGTCCATGGTACTGTTCATGTCTATAGGCGACGGTTACCACTTTCCATCAGGTGGGCCGTCAGCTTGTTTGCCATTCTAAGTTGTATAAAAAAAAAGAACTTGTTTGTTTATTGGTTTGTTGTCTCTTGAAATCGTAACGGCTTAAACATTATGAAATTTGTTATCTATATTGTATTTTGAATGGAGAAGGACATTCTACAGTTTTCTTTCAGCTTCTCAAAGTTCAACTGTAAGAGATCCCTCTATGGAATAAGTCCGCCATTCTATATTAAATCTTTTCAACCGACTTCAAAGAAAGGAGATTTTTCAATTTGGTTGTATTTTTTATGTCTATTACCTCATAACTCCGTCAGTTGTAAACCCATTTGGAAAATTCTTTTTTATCTAAGAGATTTAAACTGAACTTACAGATTGGTCCCATAGAAATTTTATCAATATCGGTCTAGTAGTTTAATTTTTACATCATAATGACTGGTTTTGTCACAATTGAAATTTGTTTATTGTGGAACACAATATTTCATTATTCATGTATCCAATCTAAAGTACGAATATGTACAACTTACAACATAGTAAAATATTATTACAATACAATACAATACATGGATTTTTACCCCAAAACTTTAATATAATTCTGTCACGCGAACTAAGCCGTGGATTAAAACTAATATTTATTTATTTAAAGGAACACCAACAGCATATTGTATATTGCAAACATTAAATATAATACAATATTAATGCACATGCCTATTATAGGTATTCACAGCATTTACTTTAACATAATTATACAGTGCGAGAAAATGAAGTAACAATTATAATGAATTAAATATTATAGAAGAAAGAATGTTATAGAAATATACATGTAACCTAAGTTGTGAGCAATATCAGTAAATAGGATTATAGGTGAATTCAATTAAAAAATATTAAAATATATATATTATGATAATTAGAGTTACTTTTACATACATATATACCTTAAATACATACCTTTTATTGGTGGTCCTATTCCTATATATGTATTTAGCAACAAAACCACAAATAGAAGGTGGCTCAATCCAAATTTCAAATGCGTTTTGTTTATTTAGAACTACACCCCTGATCTGTTAGTATTAGAGCCCGGGGTAAATATTTACAAGACAAACAGCTGTGTTATTGCACGCCAATCGGTACTCGGCTTTAATGAAATCTGTGTTGATAACTGCGATCATCAACGAATCCATTGCTAGTATACTTCATCAGGTCGACCTCCACACGGTCACCTCTGGGAACGATCGTGGTTAATTCTTGGGCTAACTACCCTTATTTCATCGTCTCCTATCACCCCTCACTGGTGCCCCGCCAGCGTATACCGATAGCACAGATGGGGTTACCATTCCATTTTCACCCATTAAAGAAGGCCTCCTCAGCTTATTTAAAAAAAAAACTCGGTATACAACCTTTTGGACGATTTCAATTTTATTATAGTACTAGCTGATGCCGCGACTTCGTCTGTATAGAATTGCGTATCTCTTAATTCAGAAATGATTGATATACAAAATTTCATCCTTCGCCCACTTCAAGCTTTATTTTCACGACAAAGAATAGCCTGAGTCCTTCATCAAGGTCTAACCTATCTTTGCACCAAAATTTATCAATATTGGCTCGTTAAATAGTTTAGCTTAAAAAAGGTAACGGACAGACGTAATTACTTTCACATTTATAATATCAGTATGAATGAATTAAGGTCATTTATATGTTGTTCCAGAGCAAGCATCAATGATGGCACGTCGATGACGGAGGCGGTCGAGTGGTACACGAACGCAAACGCGGCATTTCTCAGTCACCTCACAAAAGAGATCAAAGACACCGATAGTAGCACAATATGGAGGTAAGAACATGAATAATTAAAAAACATCATCCCAATAAACCAATCCCTCTAGTGGGAAAGGGATTTTTTTTATACAACTTACAATGGCAAACAAGCTGACGATCCACCTGATGGAAAGTGGTAACCGTAGCCTATAGACATGAGCAGTACCAGGGACATAACAGAGTATACTATTTCGCCTATGATACCCCCCATGCGTTGCCATTCCTGAGGACTCAGGTGTTATTTCTCTGTACCCAGTAAACTCACGCCATATTCCACCCTTCAAACCGAAACACAGCCATGCAAACACAACTGCTTCACGGTTGAAACACGAATGGGACAGAGGTACCCAAGTAATCGACTTTTGTACAAAGTCTCCCTCTAGTAATGGGGTATAACATGCCCATTTCTAGCAATTTACCCTATCAAGTCGAACTCTAGGTTCTCCTGAGAAATCAGCGTGGTTAATAATTGTAGTTCAACACAATACGCCAAGTGACCTCCTCTGGGGGGAAAGGGAGTGTTAGTAATGCGGTCAAACAGCCCCATTACTAGCAATATACCCTGTCAGATCGGCCTCTACGCGGTTCCTCCTGGAAACCATCGTGGCTAATTGTAGTTGAATTCGTCAGGATGGACTAACTGACTTGCTTTCATCCTCATCAGTCATCTATCACTGGTGCCCCGTCAGTGTATACCGATAGCGCAGACGGGGTTACCATACTATTATCACCCATTAAAAATAATACTGACCTGCTCTATCATCACCTATCATCTCTTAATGATGCCCCGCGAGTGTATAGCGATAGCATAGGCGGAGTCACTATTTCATTAAAAAATAATACTTTGTCTAGGATAGGATGCCTACCTAGATAAGATACAAATGAAGGTATCTATAGAATCAAATCGGCCAACGCTCACGTAAGAAAGAAGCCATCTCATCTTCCACTGTGTATTTTTCAAGGCACTTTCTTCCACGCATAAACATTCTTTGGAATCAACTTCCAGCAGCAGTGTTTCCGAACCGATACGACAACATAACCTTCAAGAAAAGAGTATATTCCTATTTAAAAGGTCGGCAGCACACCTGCAATGCCGCTGGTGTTGTGGGTGATCATGGGCGGCGGTAATCACTTACCATCAAGTGAGCCGCATGCTCGTTTACCCCCTGTGTTGTAAAAAATCTATATTTATAATTTGATTACTTTAATATAAGCATGTCTCATTGTATTTCACTGCGATGAATTGTGAAGAGAAAATAAATCTATTTATTATTATTATTATTATCTAATTCCAAGTTCATTAGATAGAATGAGATAGCGATTAGCATTTCTCTCAATAGATTCATCTATTTATTTATTTATACTTTATTGTACACAAAAATTACATAGTTAAAGTCTATATTAAATGAAGATGTACAACAGGCGAGCTTAACTCTGTAAGAGTTCTCTTCCAGCAAACCCTTAGTGGAAAGGAGTGCTTTGTTTTTTCGTTTGTACTTTTACAGAAGCTCGTCATTGAGCCTCACCTCCACTAATTATTGTACAGTAAAAAAAAAAACTTGTGGCCAGAAGGAAAAATTAAAAATAAACTTTATTCAAATAAAGTTATGAAGCATTTTTAAACGGTAATTTTTTGTGATTCAACCGCCTAATTCGGTATCTTAATTGAGTCGAGGCATTCGATATTTGTTCTTTTCAAACAAACAAAAAATAGGGCTTCACAAGTTGTTGAATGTGTTTGAATTACCAGAGGGAGAGACTTTGTACAAAAGTCATTTGCTTGAGTACCTCTGTCCCACTCGTGTTTTAACCGTGAAGCAGTTGTGTTTGCATGGCTGTGTTTCGGTTTGAAGGATGGGGTATGGCGTAAATTTACAAGGTACAGAGGAATAACACTCGAGTCCTCAGGAATGGCAATGCATGGGGGGTATCATGGGCGAAACTGTATACTCTGTTATATCCATGGTACTGCTCATGTTTATAGGCGACGGTTACCACTTTCCATCAGGTGGGCCGTCAGCTTATTTGCCATTCTAAATTGTATAAAAAAAATTTACTTCTAAAATCCACAAGTACGAAATAGCAGGCAAAAAGCTAGTATGTACGTACTGAGTAAACAAATATTTTATGACTTCGTTTTATTAAGAATGTCCCCCACCGTTGCATCTGTAGCGATGAATTTATGATCACATTTATGCTCCATAAAGAAAATGAGATAGTGTTCTAATTTATTAATAACACTAGCGATCCAGCCCGGCTTCGCGCGGGTAGATAGAATTTTCCGAAATATGTAGCCTATGTTGATCGCTGATAATGTAACATAACCTTTGATGTTTTAAAAGGGGCCGCTACTGCCCATCCCTCGACTGTTAAGTTCCTTTAGTCACCTTATCACCATCATTATTATATGAGCCTTTAACTGTTCACTGCTGAACATAAACCTCCCAATGAGAGGTTTTGCCAGTAGTTACCACGCTTGGCGAGCGGATTAGCAATCGAAGGCTTTGGAGAGAGATTAAGAGGGACGCTGCTGCCCATCCCTCGTCCTTCCTAAATAGCCTCTTACGACACCCACGGGAAAGGAAGGAGTGGACTATTCTATGCCGGGACCACAGGGCGGAAGTAGTCGGTTTATATTACATTCATATTTCTTTGTTTATTATTAAAGCACATTCCTTTTTAAAAGGCAAGTAGCACACCTGCAATGCCTGTGGTCTTGCAGGCGCTAATGAGCCGCCGCATACTCATTTACCCCATATCTTATAAAAAAAAACCCACGTAAAAGAAAGGGGTCGTCTATTCTATGCCAGAATTACACGGCACCAATGTTACTAGTAAATATTAATTTTTGTCTAATTAAAATCGCCATTTTTCACGAAACAAATTTTACCTGTCATGTTTCAATAACATAAGCACTCCATTAAAAATGAACTGTTAAAATGCTATAAATGTTCGAAGGCCTTTGTTCGAATATTATGACAAATGTTCTCAATATCCCACTGTAATGACAGTACATACTCGTATTTTTTTCAGTTATTGATAACCCTCGTGTACCATTTTCATCCATGCCTATTGAAAAAAATTTGCAAAACATAACACGAATTTTTCGATGACGTCACGTTAGCTCACTCAATTCCATTCATATAGTAATCTAAAAATACTTAATCGATTTTAAACATTATTTCACCTATATAAAGCTCCATAATCCAATAACATGGGTTGTATTTTGCTTAAAAAAACATACAAAGCCGGAGCTGATCGCCAATCTAATAATAAATAAATTGTTATGGCTGGGGGGAAAGGGATTGTTAGTAATGGAGATTGAGAATCCCATAGCGGGGACATCCTCGTGGTTCCCCCTGGAAACTATCATGATTAATTCCAGATGAATTCATCATGATGGGCTAACTGACCTGTTTTCATTCTCATCGATCACCCGTCACTGGTGCCCCGCCAGCGTATCCCGTTAGCGTAAGCGGGGTTACCATTCCATTTTCATCCAATAAAAAAAAATGTTATGGCTTATACATATGAAGGACATTTTATTCGCATACAAAATATGCCTTTATGTTTGGCTTCCCTAATCATCATTTTAAGTCCAGTGCAAAATCAGTTGAGAGGCAAACCTCGGCATATATTTGAGTCTGGTTATAATAAATCCGAGTCGTATGGTCTTTGCATAGAATGAGCTACCCCTTCCTTTTCTGGGGATGTCGCAAGAGGCGACTAAAGAAATTTAATGATCGAGAGATGGACAGCAGCGTCCCTCTTAAAACACCACTAAAGCCTAAATGCAGTTACTCGCCCGCCAAGCGTTACAACTACTAGCAAAACTTCTTCTTATGGAAGAGGCCTATGTTCAGCAGTGAACAGTTAACGGCTGATATGATGATGATGATGATGATGATGATGATAAATCACCCATAATAAATTTACGTTAATTAATAATAGAAATGTCAATAATATTTAATGACTATATGCACTTAATAATTTACTAAAGTAGACATAATTTTAATAACGCTGACATTTGGAAGGACGAGAATGCATAGTTGTGTTAATGAAGGGAAGGGATTATTAGTAATACGATCCGTATTACCAAAAATTGCTAGCAATCATCCCAATTGCTAGCAATATACCCTGTCAGGTCGACCTCCGCGTTTTCCCTCTGGCAACCATCGAACTGGATACCAGGCGTATTCATCAAGATGGGCTAACTGACCTGCCTTTTTATCCTTGCCTATCATCTCTCACTGGTACCCTGCCAGCGTATACCGTTAGCGCAGGCGAGGTTACCATTCCATTATCATGCATTACAAAAAAAACATCGAAGTATAATTGAATAAATGATATTTAAAAAAGTGATTTGATTGGAATTTTTGGAAAGAGACGGAGGAAACCTTTGCAAAATAGTGGAACACCATGGGTTAATAATAGAATAGAATAGGGAAAAAATACCTATAGTTTGATATACGCATTTGGCGTTCCATTGTTTCTGCCTACCCTAATGGAAGACAGGCGTGTCAGATATGTATGTATGTATGTATACCTATAGTAAAGCAATTATTCCACAATTACTCCTTATCTTTTTCAATGTTCTTACTTATTAACGCGGTGATATCATCAAATGCAATCAACTGGGAAGTGGGCCGCCATAACAGGCGTCCATGGAGTGACATCAAGATACTAATGTTGTTTTAAATGATCCAATATTGATCTTTAATAATGAACAGTGAATACGCAATATCGTTAGGGAACATCCGTTAATTAGGTGAAGTAGTTTTTTTTTTTTAATTGACCACTCCCTCGCTTCTCTTAGTGCGACTTTAAATAATGATGTAATTTAGTTCTCTATGATTACGATAATAAAACAACAAATATTATGATAATACGTAATAAGTACAAAAGTCGATTGCTTGGGTATCTGTGTCCCATTCGTGTTTCAACCGTGAAGCAGTTGTGTTTGCATGGCTGTATTTCGGTTTGAAAGGTGGGATATAGCGTGAATTTACTGGGTACAGAGGAATAACACCTGAGTCCTCGGGAATGGCAACACATGGGGGGTATCATGGGCTAAACAGTATACCCTGTTATGTCCATGATACTGCTCATGTCTATAGGCGACGGTTACCACATCTCATCAGGTGGGCTGTCAGCTTGTTTGCCATTCTAAGTTGTATAAAAAAAAATCTACAGGCAAAAACGAAATATCGTTTTACCCCGTAAAATAAAAGGTAAAAATAAAAAAGTAAAAATATTTAGTTCACATGTGATTTTTATCGACTTTCCGCACTATAAATAAGATTCAGTAGGATTTCACTAAAGCCCTCCCGCTATTTTTTCTCTCTTAGCGGCCCCTTATCCCCTTCAATCAACCAGACGTTATGTAATTTTGCACACGAATTTTGATATTTTGAATAAAGATTTTGTCGCTGTCGCATAAACGATGTCGCAGGCACAGCTAGTTTAATATGTACATTATATAATATCCAACAATTTCTATAAAAAAATATCATCGTAGCTAAATGAAAAAGTTAAATAAACTAGTAGATAATATTATAGTCCTTTAGGAAATCGGTAAAGAAAAAAAAATATGTATACAATAATAGGTACTCACTAGATTGAATCAATATTGGCAAATAACTAATCCATAGCTTTTATTACATTTATGTAAATATTTGTGTTATGTCAATATATTATAGCTGTAGTTTATTTATTTTCTTTTTGTTACAGCCAATTCTCCTTCCAAATTTGACAACTAAAATATTGTCTTTTACGAACAAACAAAATAAATATGTCTAATTCACTATATTTTCAATGAAACAGTATGTAACAGTATCTCTTATGTAAATTGAAGGTTTGCTGGAAGAAATTTCCTTTTAAAGATAAATACGTTTTGTAAATTACTTCTCTATTAACATCTTTCCTTTTATTTTTCTTTGTACGTCATCAAAAATAAAGAAAAATATAAATTATTCTACCCATAATACTGGCATAAATGAACGTAAAAATAACGACCGATTGCCATTAAAGAAAAAAAAAGTTATTCTACGCTAAAAATTATTTATATATATAAAAAAAAATATATTCCCGCCTTAATTCAAATATAGAACTTTCGCTGGTAACAACAGATGATATAAACGACAATTATGATTCGTGTCTGTAAATATGTAGCTACTCATTTGTTTACTTGAAACTGTAAGATAATGTACCAGGAGTATGGAATATTCCAGAAATCGATAGAAAGAAACAGGTCATTGCAGTATTCATACACGAGCACGTTGTGCAGTTCCGTGCTCCAAACGCAGTGGCTTTGAAACAAACAACATGTAGGTATTATTCTGTTTATAAATACCTATGAATTGAGTATTTAAATTTCATTACGTATATCATTTGTAGATTATGCTTAATAATAATATAAATTTACAAGTGAGTTTTTTTATCACCTCTTGGTGCCCTTACGACTGAACACAAGTTATGAAATTTTATATACATACTATATGGACAGGAGGCTTAGATTATATATATATATATATATATATATATATATATATATATATATATATATATATATATATATATATATATATATACGAGCGGTGCGATGATAAAAGGTGAATGTAGGCATCATTTCAAACAATTCCTCAGAACACAAACCGTTATATAAGTGGTAGAACACACAAAGGGAGGCAAAGTCTCGCCTTAGACTTAAGGGGCTTGACACCGCCTGTGAGCTTGGGATCGTCACCAATTCTCGTAGGCCGTCTTTTAGTATATTGCTAGCAACAGTACTGGAAGTCCGGCTTACTAACAATCTCTTCCCCGCCGTCCTTCAAATAGATGTGTGTGTATTTTTTTTTAAACGCTGATAATGGAATGGTTACCCCACCTGCGCTAACGGTGTACACTGGCGGGGCACCAGTGAAGGGTGATATGCATGAATGAAAAGGCAAGTCAGTTAGCCCATCGTGATGAATACACCAGGAATTCAGCACAATGGTTTCCAGGGGAGCCCACGTGGAGGTCGATCTTATGGGACATATTGCTAGCAATGGGACTGATAGTCCGCATTACTAACAATCTCTTACCCCTCCCTTCGAATTGATGTGTTAGCCGACAAAAAGCTGACACAGTTTTTATATTCGATCCTCTATCTATGTATATAATCTAAGGACATAAACTACATCTTAATCCGTCTCAATAGATTCCGGTCACGAACTAGTTATTTTGTAAGTCCTACTAAATGTTAAAAATATGGAAGTGAGTAAGATTTTTGTTACCCAACGGCTGAACAGATTAGAATGAAATTTGATACACTGATAATAGGCTATGTTATTTTTATATCTCAAATTATTAAAAACATTTTTCTTTATTGTATGTTCAAGTGTTATTAAATTAGTAAAAAAAATATTTATATTTTTCATGTATGTAGTTATCATTTCAGCTATTATCCGTCCACTGTTAGACATAAGCCTCCCCCATAGACTACCATAAAGAACGAGCCTCTTGAGCCACCTGCATCCACTGACTCACTGCAACGCATTTCAAGTCGTCACTTCATCTAGTAGGGGGTTGTCCTACACTGCGTTTACCAGTACGTGGTCACCACTCAAGGACCTTTCTTCCCCATCGGTTGTCGGTTCTTCGAACTATGTGACTAGTATATACCATTACATACTTTTATACTACTATACTACACTATACCACATACATTTTCATGTATGTAGTATTTACCTATAATTGCTATTGTTAATGCAATAATTGCAAGATATCTATATTGTAATTAACTAACTAACGTTGGTAATCCTAAAAAAAATAAAAAATAAATATATCCTAACTCAACACAGGATATTTATATACTAATTAACTTTTACCCGCGTCTTCATCCGCATAATCAGGATATGTTTACTAACCGCTATAAAGAGTAGTCTATATTCTTCTCCATTCCATTATAGACATATATACCAAGTTTCATAATTATTGTTTTTTTTTAATGGATGATAATAGAATGGTAACCTTGCCTGCGCTATACGTTGGCGAGGCACCAGTGAGGGATGATAAGTGAGAATGAAGTCAAAGGCATTTTCTTCCACGCACAATCATTCTTTGAAATCAACTTCCAGCAGCAGTATTTTCGAACCGATACGACAACATAACCTTCAAGAAAAGAGTATATTCCTTTTTATAAGGCCGGCAGCACACCTGCAATGCCGCTGGTGTTGTGGGTGATCACGGGCGGCGGTAGTCACTTACCATCAAGTGAGCCGCATGCTCGTTTGCCCCCTTTGTTGTAAAAAAAAAAAAACAGTTAGCCTATCGTGATGAATTCGACAATAATTAATCACGATGGTTTCCAGAAGGAACCGCGTGGAGGTCGACCTGTCAGGGTATATTACTAGCAATGGGTCTGTTAAATACTGTTATTAACAATCCTTTAATAGTGATTGGTTAAGCCCTTAAGGTAACAAAAAAATTCACTTTTACATTTATATTATTAGTGAGAATTCACGCGAACCGAGCCGCTGGTAAGACCTACTTTTGTTTTTTAATGGGTGACAATGGAATGGTAACCCCACCTGCGCTGTCGGCGTACGCTGGCGGGGCACCAGTGAGTGATGACAGACGAATGAGGATGAAAGCAGGTCAGTTAGCCCATCGTGACGAATTCCACTAGAATTAACCACGATGGTTTCCAGGGGGAACCGCGTGGAGGTCGACCTGATAGGATATATTACAAGTAATGGATTCATTAGACCCCATTAGTAACAATCCCTTCCCCCCAGACCTACTTTATTATAGTCATATATCTTACTCGAATTGAACATAACAATTGTGCAAATACCATCCGTATTTCTTATTGAAACATTATGTCTGTCAGCAATTAATTTCGCAACCGTCTGTATTGAAGCAACACGTGTTTCATCCAATCAGTTAGTTGAATGAACCAATAGGGAATTGGATATTTCGTGTTGTTTTGTAAGTATTCAGTTACAGCGATGTTCCAAATACAATAATACGGGGGCAAAGGGATTGTTAGTAATGGAAACTGAGAACCCCATTGCTAGCAATATACCCAACCAGGTCGACCTCCTCGCGGTTCTCCCTGGAAACTATCATGGCTAATTCCTGATGAATTCATCATGATGGACTAACTGGCCTGTTTTCATTCTCATCTATCACCCTTTACTCAGCCAGCGTATATCGTTAGCGCAGGCGGGGTTACCATACCATTTTCACTCATTTGTGATTTTGCCAATAATTGCTATGCTTGGCAAGCATATTGGCTTTTTAGGATGTTTTTGCCCATCCCTCGACCATTAAGTCCCCTTAATCACCTCTTACGACACCCACGTGAAAGGAAGGCCTATTCTATGTCGGAACCACACGGCAACTTTTATATATTGTGTATCACCTTGTACATATATAAGTCAACAATAGATTTTTTAATTTAGTAGTTATATAAACTCCTCATAGCAGAGTTCCGAATTTTTTTTAATTTTATTTTATCCTAAATACCTCATGTGTAAATTTAAGTTGTTTGTGAGAGAACATAAATAACTATATTATTATTATATTATTATAAACAACGGTTGTTTCAGATACTTGATGGGTTTCAAGAATTTATTACGAAGTATAGAGTGCAAAGGCATCGCTTCTGTATTGGGAATTAATTACTTCGCGCGTGGTTCGCTGCAACCGAGGTCGCACGAAAGGTATATATAACTATATATGTATAATATAATATATAAATATAACATATGTATAATAATAACTTATAAGTAAAATTGTCTAATATCTTAATATATAAACGCCCCATATCGCTATATTCGTTTACGCTAATCTCAGAAACCGCTCATTATATTATTCTCATCATATGAATCGTTAAGTAATCACGGCTGCACATAGGCCTCCATCTTGGAGAGTTTTGCTAGTAGTGACCACGCTTGGCAACCGCAGTTAGGCTTTAGCGACTTTTATAAGGGACACCACTATCCATCCCTTATTTAATTCCCTTAGTCCCTCTTAAGACACCCACGGAAAAGGAAAGGGTAGTGTATTCTGGGACCACACGGCTATTTACACGAAAACCGATCACCCGATTTTAATGCAATTTTGCAAATGTGTATTGTTAAATAAAACTTGAGAGACGTACATAGGTTTTATTCAGTCAAAACAGCGTTTCCCGAATCTGCAATTTTTTTATACAACGAAATTTTGCCATCTTATACAAGCATATAGCCCGTATACCAGAGGTACAATTACTACGACTTTTGTACAAAAGTCGATTGCTTGGTTACCTCTGTCCCTTTCGTGTTTCTACCGTGAAGCAGTTATGTTTGCATGACTGTGTTTCGGTTTGAAGGGTGGGATATGGCGTGAATTTATAGGGTACAGAGGAGGAGGTAAGGAGTAGGGAATAACACCTGTGTCCTCAGGAATGGCAACGCATGGGGGGGTATCATGGGCGAAACAGTATACTCTGTTATGTCCATGGTACTGCTCGTGTCTATAGGCGACGGTTACCATTTTCCATCAGGTGGGTCGTCAGCTTGTTTGCCATTCTAAGTTGTATAAATAAAAAAAAATACTAAATGGTAAACAATTATTGTAATCAAAACTACGAGTGCCACATGCGCGTTGCCAACCCTGAAAAAACATTAATATTATTTTTTTAAAAAACCTCATACTATAGTCTCTAGGGAAAATCTCGACAGGGAGCTATTTCACAGCCTGATCATACGCGGGAGAAAATTCCTTTGAAACCGCACTGTACGTGACTATTTATGTTCAATTACTGAATTATAAAACGAGGAAACAATAACATTGCTTAAACAACTGAATGGATTACTATAAAAAAACTATTCACTTGAATTGTTTTTATTTTTTGCAATATACTTAATAGTTCAATTAATTTATGAGAAAGAATAATTATTAATATGTATTTAAAAAAGACAACGAATATCCGATCAGTTAGTTCATTAGGAGGTATCATGGGTGAAACAGCATACACTGTTATGTCAATGGCACTGTTCATGTTTATAGGCAACAATTACTACTTTCCGTTAAGTGGCCCGCCAAGTTGTTTGCCATTCTAAATTGCATAAAAAATCTAAGGTGAAGTGAGTACAAAGAGGCAACATCTCAAGTTACAAAATCGAAGTCTTTTAGCCCGCCAATTATGATCCCACACCCACTCGTCAACTTGAAATATATAAAGGTTAAAAGAAAGAAAATAGGATTTTATACAATCGTAAACAATTCTTATCCACATTTGTTTATTGATGGAATTGAAATTGTCTACGCTTCGAATCGGTGACACATGATAGTTTACGAGCCTCTCGGGCGTTTAATGTTTTGGTTATCAATTTATTAATTCTGTTGTTTTTGGTCGAATATCCGCCATCTTGTATTGACTTCGTTTTTGCATTGTCATGCTTAAACTAATAAATGAATCTGCCAATTTAATCATCATTTTTATTTCACAAATAAATAGTTCCCTAATGAAACAGAAATATTTTAGTCCAAAGAAAATGTTAACTTATTTAAACATGATATTCGATATGTTAATATTCAATAGTAATCTTATCTTACTAATATAATAAAAATATAACTAGACGATGTCTTTGTATGGGAGTAATTTAAGAAAAAATAATAAGAGTAATAGAAATCAAGACGATCTATATTATATTTTATGTCTGTCTGTATGTTTATACCAGGATCACGCAAAAACTACTGTATCAAACTGAATGCAGTGTTAGCAGTTATGTTATGCTATATTATACTATTTTTTTTCTGGGTACATCATTTAGAAGTGAACCCAAACGTACAAAATTGCAGGCAAAAGCTAGTTTCATAATAATTAAAATTTGTTCTTTATTATATCTAAGCAACTTACATATTTTTAATAAATATCAATAGGTATATTACGTTAATGAACTGGCTAGGGAATAAAGAATATTAAATAAATTTCAAAATATATTAAATTTTGTTTCCCTTATATTAATTTAGTACTAACAGTTTATTTTTCTACATAATTATTATATAAAATTGTGTTGGGCGGAAATGATTGAGTAAACGTTACAAAATTCACACATGCATGCACGCGCACGTGCCCACGCACGCACGTGCACCCATACTACATACGCACACATATCCTTACATGAATACATAATACGAATATATACATAACACAGTGTAAGGAATCACACACACAATTTTTTTCATAACTCTTAATTTATTCATCATTCATTATTAATGATAACCTTTGTGATGATTTTAATTTTATCATTTATGTGTTTCACAATTTTTTCTGTGTTTTTCAAGGTATATAGCTCACATGGTTCTTGGTAGGGACCTCTTGGACAACACACTGAACCTGGTCCCGTCACTCATACCACTGCACAAGGATATCAAGGAAGACAGCCCGGAGTATCAGGTTTTGGAGAAGAAGTAAGTAATTAGAATAAAAATGAATTAATCAAGTGTATTTAATTTAGATTATTTACTAGCGACTCACTCCGGTTATGCACAATTTTGTGTAAATAAAAAACAGCATAATGTTTCTCGTTGATTGTCGTTGAAGCTACATTAGCTTTCTAAAGATGAAAGAATTTTAAAATTTTCTGAGTAGTTTCTAAATTTATACATTATAATACTAATAAAATCCTTTATTTAACTATAAAATATAACAATATTATTGATAACTTTATACATTAAAATAATAATTCTCTGTTAGCAGCTGAAATAATCCCCGCTCAGCTTAAGCTGCAGCGTATTGCTGCAGCGCTGATTTTCAGTGGGGTCACCATTCTCTCGAGAAAGTAATAAATAGTAACGGGTAGTACTCGAGAAACAAAATTAAATCTATAATCTACTATTAATTTGGCTTTTTAGATGATATCAGTATTATATATAAATATAATAATATATTATTTATTGTATAACATGTACAATACAACAAGGTGTAATGAAGATAAATAGAATAATGATGTTGATATACATGTTATCTAAATAATTGTGTATTTTAATTATAATCCATCAGTTATAATTTATCTGACAAATTGACACTCTTTGTACTTGTATCAAATATATTTTTAAACAATATTTAAAAGACGTAACTAAAATGGAACTGACCTTACTGAGAAGGTAAATTGTATAAACGAAGTGCTACAGTTTTGTATGTGACGCAAATCAAGTAGGGATGTGAGACTCTACGGTTATACACTGAACATGAAAATTTTTCGAATAAATAAGATGATTTTTTATTACTCCAAAAAGCAACAACACAAAATAAAGCAAACGTTTATTAACCAATTACATTGATTCATAAATGGAGTAACATGAGCACGCAAAGGTACGGCAAAACAAAATCGTGTACATGCTTTCTGCACTCGCTTTATTATTTTTTCAGTACGGGACAGTAGACCTCCTCCATAAACAGTGTCTGCATAATCGAGTTTAGATAGAATCAAGAAGTCACATAGCGTGACACGTAAATCCTTACTCAGAAACTCGCGTACCTTATAGAGCACTTCAAGCCTATTACGTATTATATAACAATTACGTATTATATCGTGTACGTGATTTTCAAAATGTACCCATCCATAATAAGACCAAAATTACAAACCTGGTCAACAATAATAAAAGGTTTTCCCTTTATTGTCACTGTAGGTTTATAAGTCATAATCTGTTTAAATTTGTTTTTAGTTCTGAATACCAAGACCTTTAAATTATTTGGATTTAAAGAAAGTCCATTAAAAATAGACCATTCTGCTTTATTATTTAAGTCCTCGTTTACTGCTGCTAATTCTGCGAAAGGATTATTAGGGGTTACTGGTAGGTACATTTGGAGGTCATCAGCAAATAAGTGAAATTTGCAATTTTTGATACAGTTAATAATATCAGCTGTAAAGAGGATAAACAATATTGGCCCTAAAATAGATCCCTATGGTATACCTTTCGTAACAGGAGATGATGATAGGGAACGAAAATTTGTAGTAGTTGATTTAACTTTTTTAGTAAGGTAACTTAAAAACCATTGTAATGTAAGTATAATCTAATCCATTTGAAACAAATATACATATAAAACATTAAATCTTTTCTCTTTATAATATTATGTTCAGATAAAATTTATAAATGTACCCGTGATTATTAATGCAAGCAAAATTATATAACCGCCGATATCTCGCAACCGCCACGTTAACGCCCTACTTCACGGTTTTAACCATTCAATATATACTAGCTATATACCGTGACTTCATCCATAGTCGTTTCGTAATATTGAATATCCACCTCCTAACGAGCTACCTAATGCAACAAAACAAACAAACAATACATTACATTACATGTTTTACCATCATCATATCGACCGTTAACTGTCCACTGCTGAACATAAGCCTTCCCCAGAAGGGGAGTTTTGCTATTAGTTGCCACATTTGCAGGCGAGTTGGCAACTGCAGTTAAGGACTCAGGTGTTATTCCTCTGTACCCAGTAAATTCACGCCATATCCCACCATTCAAACCGAAACACTGTCATGCAAACACAACTGCTTCACGGTTGAAACACGAATGGGACAGAGGTTCCCAAGCAAACAACTTTTGTACAAACTCTCCCTCTGGTAAAAATGAAATAGTAAGGGTTACTATTCCATTTATGTCTGGGCCATCAGTATTCGCTAGTCACGCACCAGTGAGAAATAACAGGTGAGGATGAAAACAGGGAGGCAACCACGAACGGTAATTACAAAGTTTCAGATTGAAAGTTTAAAAGTAATTTGAGATTTAAATTTACGATATAGAACGATACTATATACGATATAGAATATCTTGAATTTAACCACAAATTGCCACAAATTATATATATATATATATATATACTAGCAAACTGGCCCAGCTTCGGATGGGTAGATACAATCTTCTAAAATAATATATAACCAATGTTACTTCCTGATAATGTAGCTTTCTATAAATCGGTTGACTAACTTTCGAGCTCATCCATTATAAGAAACAGTCAAACCTTTCTTATTTTATAATATTATTATACATTAATTTCAAAGTTCATAATTTTATAAAGTTAAAATTAAATGATTGTACAATTTTATAATAATTGAATTATATAAGATATCAAAAATATTATATAATATGAGTATTATATATATATATATATATATATATATATATATATATATATATATATATATATATATATATATATATATATATATATATATATATATATATATATATATATATGTTATTTTTTAATTACTGTTTTAATTTAATATTGTTCATTACCTTGCACCATCAATTATATTTTCTGTTATTCCTATCTGTACGGCGATTGGCAGATAACACCATTGGGTGTTAAGTACGCAATTTACACTTTCTATAATGTATTAAAGTTTAATAAATAAACTGTACGTAGTTACGTCAGTAGCAAATAATCTATGATGTCTCTCCATATACTCTTGAATAGATCGACATAATAATCTACACACTTCAAAATTGACACAGAATTGCTGTAAACAATCTATTAATTAAGGTTTTTGGGTTCCAAGAAATTGAGACGTAACATGTAACAGCGCTCTAAATATGCTGGCAAAGCCGAGCGGTTCTCTTGTAATATTCTGAAAAACAATCACATTGTGTAATATAATGTCCACCCACGCTAATGGCAAAATACTAAATATTAATAAAAGGTTAATAGTTAAAAAAAAATTTAACGTATAAGTGATTAAAGGTACTATGTTATCAAGTTTAACTGTGATTAAAAAATACTGAATTCAAAACATAATATTTTAAATACACAATCAGAACTTAACGCAATGAAAACCCCTTTAAATATGAGTAAATAATGTGGAAGTTTAAAATTAACTATCACAACAAAATATTTTAGAAATAAATTCTCTGATTCCTGATTTGAAATGAAATGAAATATTGATTTGCTTTAAACAGACATTTGACATTATAAGGGCCTTGTGACAAAACTTTTTGGCACCTGTATAATTGCCTTAATATTGTAGGTATGCAAATCTAATTTATTGATTAAATAAGTAAAGATATAGTGTTAATTTTATCTAGTTTTTTTAGTTATAAATATCGACATATTGTGAACCGTACTACCCGTTGACATTTATTTATATATTTAAATAACTTTATGGACCAAATGAAAATATGGTACAAAAGGTGGACTTAATGCTAGTAGCATTCTCTAACATTCAACCTTTGGGATGAACAGTGAATCATAAACGCAGTACTTCATTATTAGGATAGGTAATATTATTTATGGGGATATTATTTATAAATTAATGTTATTAATGCTTTTTTCCAGTTTGGATTTGCTGTAAGAAAACTCTTGTAGAATTAAGGTCGCCTTTATACATTTGTTTTTCACTATTATTAATATGTAAAATTTTAAAGTAAAAAAAAGACAAAAAAATGTATAGGATTTAGTAAGACAGATAGTTCATTTCTAAGTTAAAAATCTTGAAACTTCAACTGACAAGAGTTAGGCAACAGGCGGGTACACAATTTCAAATATTAAAACAGTAATCTCGCTTGCGTTATTGATGGATGATAAATGAACGTGAAGTCGGGTCAGTTCACAGAAAATTTATGAGAAATTAACCAGAATGTTTCCCAAAGCGACCACGGAACCGCGCGTGGATGTTGACCTAACAGCGTAATCTAATAATGAAGCTACTACTTCCTATTATTTATATAATAATCCTCTCCCTAAATAAATTACTTTACAAAGTCAAGGAATGTGTTGCAAGAACAGCTTGTAAAAATTTATATCTTAAAAGATACAATTAATTGGTAATAAAGTAGAAAAAAAAAACAAAAAATAAGGTTTAAATGGAAACGTTTGTTGTGAAATAAAATTCACAGACTATTCCGATTTTATTTAAATTAAAAAAAAAAAATTATGTGAAGTTTCTGTGAAATAACACATTAATCTACGATGTGTATATGTTTGTATGTGTAAGTGTAGGCGCTTGCACACATACACGTACACTTGCTCGTACACACACTCACTCGCATATACTCACGCACACACAGAAACGCACACATGTAAAAACAATCATACAAACACAATTGTGTGTTTCTCAATTGTACAAGTAGCTACTTTTTCTGTGAACCAAAATAAACTTGTAAATATATTCCAAAATCGATACAGGATTTTTATTTCCATCTATAGTGCGTGCAGTATACGAGTATGTGTTTGTTTTCATGCAGCCAACATTAAGTCCGCTGCCAATTCCGAACTCCTCGTAAAACTGTTCTTGTTACCTCATGATCAATAACACAACAAGGACAAGGTCAAAAGGAATGTTTTCTTCGTTCGTAACGCATCCCTAAACACTGTAATCAGTGCTCAATATTTTTATAGGTCAATTTGTTTGAATGTTGAGAATTGTTGTATTTTTTTTTAATTGTAGGAGGAACTATATTATATAGATTCTTATACTTTGAAATTTACGTGTTCACAATTTAAATTAATCTAAGATTTTTAATTATTTTATTTACAGAAATCAACAAATAGTGGATAATAAACATGAGAATGGAAGTGTAGCTGATGCTATTGAATATTTCGATCAAACAGCTACACTGTTGGACAAATTGAGAGCAGTTCAAAAACAGCTGAGGGAATATATCAGGTAAAAATCATTAAATTACATGTAATTATAGCAACTCTATAATTAAGGATAGAAGTCTTTATTATAATATAGTAAAGACTTCTATCCAAACGAGTAAAAAGCTTTATTTATAAATTAAGAACATGCCGATTTTCGTCGTAGATTAAAGATAATATCTAAGGTCACATTTTTTTTTAATAAGTATTTATATATTAGAATCTTGCTATATGTCTTCTTCTTACCTCTATGTATCCGCGCCACTTAGAGAAAAAAAATGTTATATGCAACATATGTTACCATTATGTATAACCACATCTTGGATTGGATGGTTGCATAGATTCATTTTTCAATTTCGTCAGAATAAAGGCAGTGTAGACTTTTAATCACAGGTCCTTAATCTATACCTAATCACTAATTATTATTACTCTGTAATAACTATATGTAATATTTTTTGGCGGGAAATGAAGTATTTTTATGAATAAAATAAATTTTATATTGAAGAGATGTAAATAGATACTTATAGGATTTTAAAATAAATCTCTATGAGTTATTTATAGTTGTCGATTTTTGGTCTAAAGCACCGTGCATAAATAATTGTGAATTTTATTATTATTATCCTTGTAGGTATCTACTATAATCCAAATTACGTTAGATACCTACAGATACCTACTTACTACAGCAAACAATCCATGAAATGTTTCTGAAATAAGACAAAATTATTTCTCGACACTGTTAGGATTCAACGATTCATCTTAAACGGAATTGTTCGAAACGAATGACTAAATATTAAATTTGAGCAGGTATGTTTAACTTCAAAACAGCCTTTAAGTAGCAGAAATAATTTCAATAATATTATTTATTATATAAAACTGTATCTGTCTGGTTGACAAAAATCTTACCAAAAGTTTTTTTTTTCTTAAATATCTTCTACGTACAGATATTTTCTACTGTAACTTTATTTGAAATTGATGTAATTTATTTTCCTCTTTTATTCATCTCTATTTGCTGTAATTTCAGCATTCACTCCTTTCTATCCATATCATCTTGAGAGACATAGAATTATTAATGATGGAACTTATTAACCACATTGCTAGCAATCGACAAGATTGTATCAGAAAGGCCTCCATATAGTCATCATCATATCAGGCGTTAACTATCCTCTGCTGTGTAGACCTTCCCTTGAGGAGTTTTGCAACTCGTTACTGCGCTTGGTAGGCAAGTTGGCAACCGCAGTTTGGTGATATTTTAAAAGGAACACTACAGCCCGTCCCTACTCCATCCTCCTGGCAAATTCTTCACAATTGACCAAATAACCTGACTAAATCCTTACCTATCTTTTTTTTATACAACTTAGAATAGCAAACAAGCTGACGGCCCATCTGATGGAAAGTGGTAACCGTCGCCTATAGACATGAGCAGTACCATGGACATAACAGAGTATACTGTTTCGCCAATGATACCCCTCATGCGTTGCAATTCCTGAGGACTCAGATGTTATTCCTCTGTACTCAGTAAATTCACGCCATATCCCACCCTTCAATCCGAAACACAGCCATGCAGACACAACTGCTTCACGGTTGAAACACGAATGGGACAGAGGTACCCAAGTGATCGACTTTTGTACAAAGTCTCCCTCTGGTTATATACTACATGTAGAAACTTTCCTCTTAAATCACTTTATCTATTGATGAAAACCGCATCAAAATCCGTTGCGTAATTTATAAGATCTAAGCGTACAGACGACGAGAAACGACTTTGTTTAATACTATGCAGAGATTAATAGATAAAAACTTGTTGAACGTAATCAATAGCTCCATTAAATTGAAAGCGTTAACTACCTACTTGCGTATCTAAGTAATTGTAATTAGATTAATTTATTTATTTGCAGAGAGGGTGTGACGAAAAGCCTTCAGGAGGCGAGACGTAGTGAAGCGGTGTGCGCGGCCATACTCGTGCTTGTGTGTGTGGTGTCACCCATTATTATAGCATTAGTCACCAACGCTGTAAACACTATACAGGTTAGATTTATCATTTATTTATTTACTCTTTATTTTTTTTAATGGGTGAAAATGGTATGGTAACCCCGCCTGCGCTAACGGGATACTCTGGCGGAGCACCAGTAAAGGGTGATAGATGAGAATGAAAACAGGTCAGTTAGCCCATCATGATGAATTCATCAGGAATTAACCATGATAGTTTCCAGGGGGAACCGCGAGGAGGTCGACCTGGTTGGGTGTATTGCTAGCAATGGGATTCTCAATCTCCATTACTAACAGTCCCTTTCCCCCCTTTACTCTTTATTACACCACTCAATGAAAAATACAATGATAAATACAAAGATAAATATATATTACACTTATGAAGTACAAAAGGCGGTTTTATCGCTAAAGTAATCTCTTCCAGACAACCCTTGGGTAGATGAGAAAGAAAAAAAGACGGTAGCTATTTAGCGCATGTAGTGTAACTCATAAAAAAAAATATGCAGTAAATATATATTTATTTTGTTTATTTAACACTTTATTACACCAACATTACAGGATTTGTCGAAGAATTTTCGATAAGTATAGTGTAGTACAAAAGGCGGTCTTATTGCTAAGCTATATCTTCGAGACAACCTTTGGGTAAAAAGAATTAATGAATAAATAGGTAGTTGGCGCATTAAAAAATAAATAAGAATAATATAACAATAATAAATATCTGTGTAAGCACAATTATATATATATATATATATATATATATATATATATATATATATATATATATATATATATATATATATATATATATATATATATATATATGACACACATAAAATACTATAAAATACACTCCTATTTCAGGTTTATGCAAGAAATCTATCGGAAAAAGCTCGGGAACTGGAGTATGAGAAAGAGTTGAGCGACTCACTACTCTATCAAATGCTTCCTGCAAGCGTTGCGAAGCAATTGAAGCAAACACAACAGGTGTGCATAATGTAGTTAGTTGTACAAAAAACAACCATCTCTCCAAATAATAGGGCTATTTTCTACATAACTAGTTTCTATCAGAAAGTAGTCCATATTTTTTAATAGATGAAAATGACATAGTAATCTGGTTTACGCTGTTGATTTACGCTGGCTTGTTACCAGTCAGAGATAATAGACGAAGGTTGATCAACTGGCAATTAGTTCACCAAAAATTACAGAAATTAATCCAGTTCTCAGAGAGGATCGCGTAGAGGTCGGCCTGTTGACAATAAACACGCTAGTTCCCATTACTAATAACCAATTTCTACAACATGATACTCTTTTGCCGGACTGATAATTGTGGTTTCTATAAACTATGCTGCCAGATTTACGAAAAATTTTACAAACGAATTTTTACAGACACGTCCATTTGTTAAATTACAAAGTATCAAGTCAGTGCTTATGAATATATAATATAGAAAATTTTACTACGACTCGTGAGAGAGTAGCGTCCTTAGACGTCAAGAGTTTCTAGGCCGCTTTCATTACGTATGAAAGTTAGTAAAAATATACTATACATGTTACTTATTGCCCAGGTGCCGGCTGAGTTCTTCGCATCAGTGACCGTTTACTTCAGCGATATAGTTGGGTTCACAGCAATAGCCGCCGTATCAACGCCTTATCAGGTTGGTTTTCACTTCATACTGTACGCCTTACTGATGGAATATAGTAACCATCGCCTATAGATATGAACAGTACCATAGATATAACAGAGTATACTATGTCGAATACTATATAGAAGCGAAAGAGGTTTGTTTGAATCGAAGCATTTGGCGTTCCATTGTTTCTGCCTACCCTAATAGGAGACAGGCGTGACAGATATGTATGTATGTACGTATTTAATTAATGCACTCTACATTTGTTTGTTTCAGGTGATAAGTTTCCTCAACTCAGTGTACAAATTGTTCGACGAACGCATCGAATGCTATGACGTATACAAGATAGAAACTATTGGTGATTCGTACATGGTTGCTTCAGGCCTACCCGTCAGAAATGGTGAGTATACTTCTTATTCATGTTTTACTAGTCTTGAGCCCTTATTACATCACTAGATTATATCCTAACTTTAACACATAACTTACTTTACGAGTATATACTGATTTACGCGGGTGAAGTCGTGAGATACAGCTAATTCAATATAACTTGTATATTTAACCTCTCAGAAGCTAAAAATTTATTTTTAATGTTCACTTACCTTGTGCAAGGTAAAATCAAAATCATTAAGATTATTTTAATGAAACATTCTATCCGTGAAACAAAACGTTATCCCAAAGAAACATAGTAGCCAAACAACAAAAATTTTAAGCATCCCATATTGATACTGTGTCTTTGGTTGTTAAATGCATTTGAAGCTTTTATGATATTAAATATTATTTTTTAATTCAATTTTATTTGTCAGATAAAGTTCATAAGATTTAACTAAACTGCATTACATCTAATTGGTCTCTTGAACGAATGAGTGTACCTCAAGGGCCTATTCTTGATCCTATTCCTATATTATATTAATTCTTTGGTCGTTAAAGATGGATAAATGTGGTTTCAATAAAATATCGAAATTGAAGAATCTTTTGATTGTCACATAAGAATAGTTTATAGACTTAAAGCCACCTTGCTGTACTTCTTTACTCTTTGTCTTTCTTTGTCTTATATGTCAAGTATCTGCTAGTTTATTATAATGCATTAGCATATAATACAATAATGCAATAATAAAAATTTCGCAGGCAACAAACATGCGACTGAAATAGCGAATATGGCTTTGGAACTGCTTGAAGCGACGTCGATGTGTCGCCTCCCACACCGGCCCGATCAGGTACCTACTTAGGTAATACAGTCTCTGTGTTATAGTTTGTACAGTTACCTGCTTCGCATGATGCTTAGCACATTTGTAACACTCTCTGCCATCCTTATACCAGCGCAGATGAAGGGCATTTAGTCTATAGACAAAGAAGATTATTTATTTCGAACCCATTCATAGTGCAGTATCCCCAAAAAAATTGGAAAACTATAGATTATTATAAATATAGCCCATCATCTGCGTAGTTTTTTAAACTACATTTTCTCTGAAACACCCTTATAATCCAAATGATAATAATAAATGTGAAAATTTGTAAAGAGATTTTGATGTTTAGGTTTATTCAATCATATTTAAAACGAATTTAAATGGAATTTGATATACAGATGTAACCCTACCCTAAATTGATACATAAAGTAGGATACTTTTTACACTAATTCATCTTAGCAAATCTTCGAGATACAACTAGTGTTGTTATAAACTTGTGTCGTACATATTAAACGTATAATGAAAGAAAATGAAAAAGAAATGAAACTGAAAAAGGCCTATACTAATTGCATACAGATTATTTCCAACTAAGAAACTGTATCATTATCTACATGCTAATGTGTTGTAAAATAAATGCATATGCACTATTTTCTGTACAAAATCGATGTGGCTTATAAAAATTAGTACAAATAATCCATTCAAAGATACAAGACTTCTGGACATAAGCCTTTCCCATAAGAGAAGTTTTGCCAGTAGTTGCCACACTTTGCAGGCGGGTTGGAAACCACAGTTAGGCTTTTAAAGATGTTTTAAAAGGGATGCTGTTGCACATCCCTCTCCCTTCCTTAATCACCTCTTACGACACCTACGAGAAAGGAAGGATGGCCCATTCTAGGCCGCGGCACACACTGCAATTGGTGTGATTATTGCCGTGTGTGCCCCGGCATATAATGGCCCACTCCTTCCTTTCCCATGAACCGTTCCATGACGATTATGTGGCAGTTATTATTATAATTCCAAGTGACCTTTCTCCAGACGTTATGTATGAGGAGCGGCATCCACACAGGGCCGTGTGTGGCCGGCATCGTCGGCACCAAGATGCCGCGCTACTGTCTGTTCGGAGACACCATCAATACCGCCAGCAGGATGGAAAGCACCGGCGAACGTTAGTATATCGTCCAGTTGCCATAAAAATATACAAAATAACCTTAAAATTTATTTTTCTATACAAAAGTTACCTTTAAAATCTGTTCTGAAATAAAAATTAAAAAAAATCCCTTTAGCCAACGCATTAAAGCGTGGTGCAGAAAACTATTTTGACTGTAAATAAAAAAGAAAGAAAAAAGAATAAATAGATTAAGAAAGAAAGAAACAAGAACAATATCTGCACTAAATAAGATTTTTAGATTTGAAAATAAAATCATATGAGATACTTTCTCACTTTCGGATTTTTAATTTTTTATTGTAATGTTATTTTAAATTTAGTGACCTTCTCAGTATCCGCATTTTTATTTTGTTCCAAAAAAATTTTAAGCGTCCAACTGTCAAGTTACTAGGAGAAATTTTAACTTTTATATTGTTTATCGTTTTTATTCTAATCTAATTCTAATCTTCAAATAAATGAATCTTCAAATATCATGAATAAACCTCTCCATTGATATTAAAAACTATTTATTTGCAGCAATGAAAATCCAGATTTCAGAAGACGTAAAGAAAGCACTAGACAAAACTGGGCAGTTCCTGACGACTCCAAGAGGATTAGTTGACGTTAAGGTAATAAATATCTCAGAAATCCTTAAATTTAGAACTATGGAATTTGAAGACGAAGATGAACTGATGACCTCAAATGACAGGGAGTCAGTAGATGCAGGTCGCTCAGGACCATTTCTCATGGCAGTCTATGGGGCAGGCCTATGTGCACCTGGAATTCAACACGATGGTTTCCAGTAAGGCCACGTGGAGATCAATCTGATGGGGTATATTGCTAGCAATGGGACTAATAGTCCGCATTACTAACAATCCCTTCCCTCCCTGCCATAGAAGTTGTCGTAAAACATAAGAACAAGATCACATATTTACAGGGTACAGAGGAATAACACCTGAATCCTCAGATTTGGCAACTGGGTTTTCGAAACAGTATACTCTGTTAGGTCCATGGTACTGCTTATGTCTATTGGCGACGGTTACCACTTTCCATCAGGTGGATCATCAGCTTGTTTGTCATTCTCATTTGCATAAAAAAAACATTATGCAAAACGATGCAAAAGCGGCAAAATATACCTACATGAGGTACTATTTACACGCGTTAAAAAGTTTAAAATCGACTAAATGGGCACAGTTGCCAAAATAAAGACATGTATTCATATAATAGTTATAGTTATCTACCATAAAACTATATACATATAAACTGTCCGGATATATTTTACAGGGCAAAGGCGAAATGACAACACATTGGCTAGAGGGCAGGACTGGTCCCTCCCCAGTTAGACCAACAGCGTCCACCCTCTCATACACACCCAGCTTCCTCGCCAGGATACACTCACAAGGAAGATCAGCTTCGCCCAGATACCAGCCTGATTCCAAGAGAGACTTTCACTGACTCGTTTAATCATTGCATCAGGATTAGTGATGTGCCGAGTCGAATTTATATGGTATTCGAGTAATTTGATACTCGTTAAAAAAATAATCGAATCTTGACTCGAGTCCGAAAACTCAGACAAGTACTCGAATATTCGTATTATATAGATGGATGTTTAGATGTATGGATTTTTATTACACAGTCACGCTTCAACGGATAAACGAATTTAAAGAAAATATGGTATACGGGGAAGTTATATCCTAACTTAACATATAGAATAATACATACATTGACTTACAAAGACAAAGCCAGAGACTCAACAATCTCAGTGTAATTCGCAGTACTTTAGTACTTGTCCGAGTATTCCAGTACTGCAACAAACTCGAGTAATTTTTCAATTAATTTCTGAAGCTTACTTTTAATAAATATTCAATCATTTTATAATTTTTCCTTTGGTAATTAATGAAAAATTTATGATTCAATTATACAAAAGAATTAAAACATATAATAAATACGCGAATGGCATTCGAGTATCGCAAGTATTCGAATACTCGAGTACCTAAGTACAAATTATTTATTCGAGACAGTATTCGAGTTAACCTGACTCGGTTTAGCATCACTAGTCAGGATAAGTGGACAAAGGTTATATCTGGCAAAATTAGAAAAAATAAACCTGCTGCATAAACAAATGGTTTGGCAAATAATAAATCATCTCAGGATATTGAAAACTGTAATTTATTCATTGCCTAAGAAGCGATAAAGTATAAGCTAGGTAATATACATATATCAATATCTATATTATATATTTTAGTTACAAAATCTATATACTGATATGATGCTCTCTAATAGTACATTACTGCAGCGGCCAGCAACTGAGGCATTGATGGACGATTGTGCAAATGTGGGCCGAGACGTAGCCGAGGCACACATACGTGAGTCCATCAATGCCTAGTTGTGGCCAAGGCTTGTATAGTATTTTTCTCAAACAATGCGCGGAAATCGAAAACACAATTTTACTTTTTAAGTTCAATGACGAATAACGAACAATAAACCACGCGCCATAATGTTCCTTTGTTTTTTATCAATAAACAGCTTTCTATTTGCAAACCAGTTCGAAATTTAAATAAAACCTTTTATTAGTTACCTCCTTGGTAGCCATGTTTCGAAGTAAAAGGTCATTCCATTTTTAAATTACAGGACAGATATGAGTTTACATAGTAATTTATCTGGCCGCAAAACACGACAGATATGGATTTTCATACAACTTTTGCCGACCACTGCCCGCATGTATCTGGCCAGTACGGCAATTTTGATTTATCTCGAAGAAGATTGTTAAAATAATGCTTACATTTCCAAGCATGTTTGAGAAAATATTATTAACACATCAATAAATTCGATGATTTAATTGATCTTCAACTGACTTCAAAACCAAGGTTCTCAACTGTGCTTTGTTTTATTATGTTTATTACCTCAACTCTATCTGGTATAAACCGTTTTGGGAAATTCTTTTTTTTTTACTGATAAAATATATTTACAGACTGGCCCCGTTTTATCAAAATCGGTTTAGTAGTTTAGTTTTTAAATTAAAATAACTGGTTTTGCTAGTATTGAAGTCGGTTTTTTATGGAACGCTATCTTAAATAATTCATTTATACTGTTATTTGATATCAACAGACTATGCATTTGTTTACATGTCCATTAAGTTCTATTGACACATACTGTTAGTACCATAATTAATTTTACAGATTACAAATACGTATTAAAACGTGTTAAAATCATTACTACTATTAAACCATTTATCAGTTAATACCTTTGTCCACTTAACGCTTCGATCATAATCGAATACCATCAAATCAACCAAAGACACAGAAGACTAATGGAAGAGAATATGTCGTTGACATTTTTTATATATATAGATGTAGTTAAATGTACACTCACAAACCGAGCACCTTTACATTAAGGGATTCATCCATTGATATACAAAAAAGCCAAGATTCCTGCACAAAAGTTACGCTTCAACACCATCCGGAATTAAAATAGAAAATAGTTGTTATGGAAACACCGATATATTTTAAATCCATTTTCAGTCATGTGATATTTTTACAAAATTAATGTAAGGACATTAAGAACATTGTACTATAGTACTATAGTACATTGTAGTATTGTCCTTAGGAATGAGAACGCATTAAGAATATAGGTAATATAATATATAGCAATATCTATATATTTAAGTTACATTGGGATCGATTCTGGAGCGATATTTCTCTAAAACTACCTGTAAAATAAAAAAAAAACAATTTGACATCACAGCAAAACATTTATGCTTTTAGACCCAAATTGAACTACATTTCTAATAGATTTAAATTAAAAATTATTACAAATATACTTTATGATTGTCCAGAAAACAGTCATCGTCATTATCATATCAGCCTTTAACTGTCCACTGCTGAACATAAGCTTCCCCCTTGAACAGGTTTTGCTAGTAGTTGCCACAATTGAGACAGTTTGCACTGCAGTCAGGCTTTGGAGATGTTTTAAGCGGAACGTTGCTACCCATCCCTCGCCCTCCCTTAGTCGCCTCTTACAACACTTGCGGAAAAGGATGGGGTGGCCTATTCTAAAGTTATAAAGAAATAAGTTTATGAAAATAGCGTCTCAGATTCGAGCCCAATATCTCATTCAATATCGCCTCAACGGATATTTTTTTTTTATACAACTTAGAATGGCAAACAAGCTGACGGCCCACCTGATGGAAAGTGGTACCCGTCGCCTATAGACATGAGCACTACTATAAACATATATAACATATAACAGAGTATACTGTTTCGCCCATGATACCCCCCCCCCCATGCGTTGCCATTCCTGAGGACTCAGGTATTGTTCCTCTGTACCCAGTAAATTCACGCCAAATCCCATCCTTCAAACCGAAACACAGCCATGCAAACACAACTGCTTTATGGTTGAAACACGAATGGGACAGAGGTACCCAAGCAATCGACTTTTGTACAAAGTCTCCCTCTGGCAAATATCAAATATCTGTTATGGATATGTCAAATATCTGTTATGGATATGTCAAATATCTGTTATGGATATGTCAAATATCTGTTATTCAATATATAATATCGGAATAAAGAACCCGATTGAAATGAATATATAGGTATTCGATCGGTATGAGCGATATCAAAAAGTATGTGATGAAAATGATGACCTTTTTTTCCGCTATCAATATCCAGAGGAGCTCAATATATAGATATTGGAACGATAACGATATTACCCATATTTAATGTGATGTCAAATTGTTTTTTTTTAAAGCAAATAAATATTTCATTTCATTTCATTTCATTTCATTTCATTTAATGAGGAGTACCAATGGGCTTCAGTATATTTTGTCTAATGGCCCCTTATATACTAAAAACATCACTAGCTTATCAAAATCGGGTTTTTTCTTGATGGGTGAAAATGGAATGGTAACCCCTCCTGCGTTAACTAAATACGCTGACGGAGCACCAGTGAAGGTTAATAGATGAGAATGAAAACAGGCCAGTTAGCCCATCATGATGAATTCATCAGGAATTAACCATGATAGTTTCCAGGGAGAACCGCGAGAAGGTCGACCTGGTTGGGTATATTGCTAGCAATGGGATTCTCAGTCTCCATTACTAACAATCCCTTTCACCCCTATTAAAATCGGGTTATACAGAGCAAACTCTATTCTCTATATTAATTCCAAAGATTATATATGATAAAAATGTAATGAAATAAAGATTTGCTTTAAACACACATTTAACGTAGTAAAGGCCATGTTTAATTGCCTTATAGTCTTGACTTATAGTCAATAATCCTATTCACCCCCTTTTCCTTTCTCCTCAAGCACTAGCCTATGGGGTGAAACGCGCTTTAAACAAATCATAATACAAGTTATTTCGTAAATCGCTCCATCCACTTTCACAACTCGTTATATTATCTACCCAGGGATGTATTAATAGAATTAATATTTATAAGGATGGATGCATTAATATTTGTTATGAATGAAGATGAAATATTACATCCATCTTTGCTAACGGTATATAATGACAGAGCACCAGTAGAGTAATAAAATGATGAGTTACCCTATCTTAGCAAATTAACTACAAACTAACTACAATTGTTTCAAGAAGGTGACCGTGTGGAGGTCGACATGACAAGGCGTATTGCTACCAGGGTCTAACATTCTTATTATTAATAATTCCTTCCCCCCTGCATGGATGTTTGTTACCCATTCAAAAACCAATGAATGAATTTATATGTTTGGTTATGTCGTAAATAAGATCATAGAATATGTTCTGATTCACGTAAGCAAAACCACGAGATATAGCTAATATGTCTGCCTATTAATCTCGGCAGGAGATCTAAAATACTCGTAGTAAAATATACAAATCCTCCTAGAATTTCTTTCGTATAACCCTACCAAAATAAATAGGCGCGTTGCCATGAAGACGTATTTACGTATTAACACACTAATACAGTTCCATCGGACGATTAATACGAAATAAATCCTAATGGGAATTACATAAGTGGCTATTTTAGATCCTAGGTTATCTGTACAAATATTATAAATGTAAAAGTACCTTTTAGAGTTTTGTTGTTTTTGTTTACCTTTTAGAATCTTAACGGCCTAATAAATCACTATGAAGTTACAGGTACTATATGGGATGGAGAAGGATATAGCCTACTTTCAATCCTAGACACGCATACGAAGTCGCCAATAAAAACTAGTACGAAATAAGTCGTATTAAGATTTGCATATAGCGGCGTTTATAACTCCCGATTTCTTAATGAAGTAGACGTAATTATATGTAGGTATAATCATAAATAGATGTAAAATTAATGGAAACCGGTGCAAGGATCACTTTCACTGAATATTATGTGGAAGGATCGACGACTTTTTTAATAATTTAATAAATGTTAATTATAATAAAATTGTTCATTAAATTAAAGATTTAGAAATAAATTTGTGAATGTTGTGTTGTGTTTTACATTTTTTTTTATCCCAATTTGAATCCGAAAATAATGCAACTGCTGAGAAATCATAAGTGATCCGTTATTTCTTCGACAGACTTAAAAAAAAGAGGTTCTAAAATCGGTTGTATTTTTTTTTGTTTTATGTATGTTACCTTACAACTCCGTCAGTTTAAACCGATTTGGGATTTTTTTTTATCTGCAAAGATATACTTACAGACTGATGCCATTGAAATGTTACCATAATCGGTTCAGTTATTTAGTTTTTAGATAAAAATACTCGTTTTAGTAGTTTTTTTTTTTTTTTTTGTGGGACATATTCTTTAATTATTAATAATTGGGTATAGAATGGTATCTCGAACTTGTGTCCCACCAGTATATGTGTTAATTTATAAATTTTATCAAAACTGACACGAACACTCAGGTTATGGAATGAGCTCCCTGCCGAGGTTTTCCCAAGAGACTACAGCATGGCGTTCTTCAAAAGGGGGGTAAAGAGGTTTCTTCAGGGTCGGCAACGCGCGCGTAATACCTCTGATATTGCAGGCGTTCATAGGCTACGGTAACCGCTTACTATCAGGTGGGCCGTATGCTTGTTTGCCACCTCAGTGGTATAAAAAAAATCCTGTTAAACCCATATTTTTTCTCAGTTGAAACCCAAATGAAAAGGAGATTATCAGTATTGAGGGTTTAGCTTTTTTTTTAATGGATAATAATGGAATGGCAATCTCGCCCGCGCTAACGGTATACACAGGCGGTGAACCAGTAAGGGATGACCGGTGAAAATGAAAAGGCAAGTCAGTTAGCCCATCGTGACAAATACAACTAGAATTCAACACGATGGTTTTCAGGGAGGACCATTTGAAGAGAGACCTGACAGGGTAATTTGCTAGCAATGAGACTGGTGGTGTGCATTACTAACAATACCCCCCTCCAGGGGGCCCACGTGGAGGTCGACCTGACAAGTTATATTACTGACAATAGGAACTAACATTCCTATTACTTTGTGTCCGTCAGTCTATTTCTATGTTTGTTATTTTCACAGCGTATTTCTGAAGGTCAAATATTGAAATCCAAAAAACAAATACACGCATTCCAAGTGTTTACCTACTTCCAAAATCCATGCAGACGAAGCTGCAACCAAATGGTACTATATTAATGAAACAACATAAATCAAGAACATCAATAAAATTATTTAATTGACAATCCACAATCCGTAGAGACGTGTTAAATTAATTTACACATCTGAGCATTGCAGAAAAAGAAACGTGATATGAACTTAATGTACCTACTAACATTTATAACTATTTAACAAGTTTCCATACATCTCATACATAACAATAGTAAAGTATAGTAAAATACAGAGTTTTATTTCGTTGAATTCCTGGATACAGCTCAAGTGAATAATGTAACATAGAAATCCTTATGAGGATAATATAAAAATAGATATATTTTGGAATTAGAGATATCATGCGAGTACTACAATGTATAATAACTATTATAAAAACTAGCTGACTCGACCCGTTGACAGTCTATAGTGTAAAAAGAAAAATGTAATTTTTTTCCGGCCAATAATTTATCAGTTCTTCTATTCATAAGTACCGTCCTCGGATTTCAATGAGTATTTAAAAAGAAATAAAAGCATTTTTTATTTTATTGTTGCTCTTCCCGAGATTGGCACTTAGCAACAAATTCAACGATTCCTTTTTGTTTAGTCTAACACGATTACTGAATCGTTATTTATTAAAACAGTTATTGCACTGGCAATAACTGTTTTAATAAATCTTCATAAATAGATAATTTATTTGCATTACTTACAGCACACAAATAACAATATACGCAAAAAATGGAAAATACATAAAATAAGTGACATAATTTTTGCTCTCGTGTGTGAGTGTGTGTGTATGTGTCACAGTAACGCAAAATGGTCAAAAACAGTTTATTGCTTCAAAGCAAAACATTGATATTCTGTTGTAGTTAAAAGCCAGTTACGATATATATAATGTTATACAATAGATGCATTAATATACATATATCTGATGTAATAAATAGTTGATTGGAAATATTTTTTTATTGTGAAACTCACATGATTTATAGATAAATCTGTACTTATGTTTAGAATAATGATATCGACAAATAGAGATACGTATTAATAGAATAGACATTTTGCATCAAAAATATATGTAGAATACACATTCGCTTACATTTTACATGCACCTAAACTAGACCTTGACTTTGATCCCGATATTTATACATCTATTAAAATCTTAAAACATTTAATTCTATAAATCATACACCTCACTAATTAATTCACAACAAGGGCCCATAAGTATACGTTCTACGTAAACAATTTGATCTTTCACACATCTTTTAACCCTTCTTTGCATAATGTTGGAAATTTCCATCATAACATTGAATGCCCAAAAATTATATAAAAGAACAAGTTCACTTTAAGTTGATCGTGTCTGGATACCTTTTTAATGAAAAAAAAAACATAGCTGTCAAATTTATTTTTTTGACCATTTTTCCTTTAATTTTGAAACCTTGATTTATTTCACCAATAAAACAAATCAAAGATGGAAATGGATATATATTTGCGGCGTTTGGAGTTGAAACTCTGCGTCCGTGGGGTCCCGAGGCCATGAATCTTTTCAAAGAGATTTCACGCCAGCTGGTGGAAACCTCTGGTGACCAGAAGACTGGCCTATACTTTGGTCAACGCATTTCCATTGCTATTTAGCGTGGAAATGCAGCAAGTATCCTAGGCACCCTACCAGCTGGCAGTGACCTCAAAGAAATTTTTTATCTTTAAATATATATTTTTTTTTATTTTTTAATTACTTATCTGTAATTAAATAAATTATGTTTATTACCAAGTGTATAGGAGTAATTATATACTTTTTAAACAAATCATGTAAAGAAGGGTTTAAAGTCGTAAAAAAAAATAAGCGACACTTAATCCTCTTTCTTAAGCCTATATTGTTAAATTCCGGAGTTATACGAAATCTAAACAATTTTTTTACAAATTTGGTTACAGAATCAATACAAAACACTTCATTCTTGTGCCGATTTGCATTTTTCCACTATGCCGCTTATATGTAGTTATTTACATTACAATCGTGTCGGAGATCGTGTTCTGAACATCTAATCACTGCTTAATTTGCTCGATCAGTTGCCTCCGTGATACGTGACACAAAGGTACGACAAATTGAGGGAATTACAATAATTCTTGTATCATTTCTAAAAACTTTGGTCAAACGATTCACGACTTTATTATTAACTCAAGAAGGTTCTGGTCGTAGTCGTGTAGACGCAAACAACGCGGGCTCTCGTCCTGCATGCCGCCCACTTTGCCCACCAACCAAAACGTCTCCATACTGCCTTTGCCCTGGAATTTAAAATAATATAAAATATAATGATTGTGTTCCATAAAAAAAACCAACTTAAATTTTGACAAAACCAGTTATTTTGTTTTTAAAACTAAACTACTGCACCGTATGTCGGTGGGAGACTTTACCAGAGGGAGACTTTGTACAAAAGTCGATTGCTTGGGTACCTCTGTCCCATTTGTGTTTCTTCCGTAAAACAGTTGTGTTTGCATGGCTATGTTTCGGTTTGAAGGATGGGATATGGCGTAAATTTACTGGGTACAGAGGAATAACACCTGAATCCTCAGGAATGGCAACGCATGGGGGGGTATTATGTCCATAGTACTATCTGCTCATATCTATAGGCGACGGTTATCACTTTCCATCAGGTGGGCCGTTAGATTGTTTGCCATTCTAAGTTGTATACCGAAGTATACAACTTAGAATGTAAGTAATAATAATGTAAGTAAGAATATAAGTGAGAATATAAGTGGCACCGACCTGAAGAATTCTATTGTCTTGAAAACATTGCTCTCAGCATTAAGACCGCCTTACTGTACTTATACAATTATATCGTTATATGTTGTCTTGCTTATTACCTATTATATTGTAAAATGCAAATAAAGTATACTCATTAATTCATTTATTCATTCTATAGGATTATTCTGTAAGTATATTCTTTCAGATAAATAAAGAATTTTCCAAATTCGATTTACAATTAATGGAGTTATGAAAGAAAAAACAAACAAAAAAAAATACAACCGAATCGAGAACATTTTTCTTTTTGAAGTCGATTTATAAATATGTATACGTTCTTTACATGAAAATAATTTTAAATTACTTTTTACCTAGGCATATTTTTTTTCAGAAACACGTTTTCCCAGATCATAAAATACAGATAAAAAAAACTTAATGCTAATATAAAATGCTAAAGATCTTTGAAGTTACACACTCTTTTATATCATCTATTTTCATTACTTATCACGCATGTGCATATATATATATATATATATATATATATATATATACACACTCCAGAAAATTTTGATTTCATATAGAATAAATCACAAAATAGTAAAAGATATCTTATATTTATGATATGTGATTGAGTTTGATACTTTTTATTCATATATTCTTTATTGACCAAATTACAAAAACTGTTTACTACAAAAAGAATTCTCTCCCAGTCAACATTTGGTAAAACAGAAATATAATCACATTTCTCATTTGCCAAAAGTTGACTTTATTACAGACTTTATGACATTAATAATTGCATGTTTCTATTCAATTTTAACTAGTGTTTATTAACAGTTATAATTATTTAAATGAAATTTAGTACAATAGTAAATACCTGAAATACTTGTTTTATACTTAAGGGAACCCCAGTGTATTTTATTATTATTGCGAGACGGACTTTTTTAGGCAAATAAGAAACCTGTGATCTTTTATGCTCGCCCTTTTTTTTTAAATTCGCTACTAATTACGATCAGCGATAGGAATTTTAAAAACCCTAATATAACACGATCATGACAATACTTACAGCCGGGAGGGAAAGGAATTATTAGTAATGCTGGCAATAGACCCTCTCAGGTTGACCTCCACGCGGTTCCCCCTGAAAACCATCGTTGTTAATTCTAGTGGAATTTGTCACGATGGGCTAACTGACCTGCTTTCATCCTCACCTATCGTCTCTCACTGGTGCCCCGTTCCATTTTCACCCATTAAAAAAAAATACTTACAGCCACGTCTAGCTTGCCCCGTGGTTCAATCTCGTAGTTGCCAATTTCGTCCAATGCCTTCTTCGTCGTATACGATATGTGAATTTTCATTGCTGTAAAGTTGAAAAAACATTCTATTTTTAAACTATTAGATATAGAATACGGTTGTTACAAAATCCATCTGGGTCACCCGAACGGATCCCTCATGGTACCACTCAGGCGTTACCATTCCCGGGACTAAGATTTTACACCTCCGTACCCTGTAATTTCACTGTAATATCCTACCCTTTAAATCACTCAGCCATACAAGCGCAGCTGATTTACAGCATAAATACTTGACAGAAGTACCATTGCAGACGACTTTTGTATAATCTTGCTCTGATACACCATGACCAGTTATAAAGGGAAGTTAAGATTTCAGAAGGACCGTGTCTATGCTAGTTCTGAGATAGTGATGATGATAAACGGGATTACCGTAACCTATGAACTTCTGTAATACAAAGTATATCACACGCGCGTTGCCGACCCTTAAGAAACGTTAATATGCCCTTTTTAAAAAACCGGCAAGAAGATCATTCCACAACCTTTGTGTTTGTGGAAAGAAGCTCCTCTAAAACGGCACTGTACGTGGACGTTCTGGTTCTAAGGCGTAAGAAAGGATTCCTTGCCTTGATAGAATATATAAAAAGAACTTGTAATACTATGAGGTAGCGTCAAATTGATCGTTTCTTGTAGCAGTCTATAAAAAAGCCTTATATTCAAAACAAAGTAATTAAAAATAATTAATAAATGAAAGTCAAGAAACACATTTTACTATATTGTTTCAAGTTTAAATAAAAATCACTGTGTGTGCCTCGGGATAGAATAGGGCACCCCTTCCTTTCCCGTGGGTATCGTAAGAGGCGACTAAGGAAGGGCGAGGGTCAGGCAGCAACAGCAGTCCCTCTTAAAACATCGTCACAGGCCTAACTGCTGTTGCCAACCCGCCTAAAACTCCCCTTATGCGTAAGGGTTATGTCCAGCAGTGGACAGTTAACGGCTGAAATAATAATTAAAAAAACACGTACGTTCTCCAGTACTTTCCATCCTGCTAGCAGTATTTATAGTATCTCCAAACAGGCAATATCTGGGCATTGTAGTCCCAACGACTCCAGCCACGCATGGTCCCGTGTTCACTCCAGCACGGACCCTTAAAAGTTCTTGCGGCCTGTGTGGCACTTTAGCGCCCTCTAAACTCCTCATCAGCGACAATGACATGTCAGCTATTTCAGAAGCATGGCGGTTGCCTGAAAAGTGCTAGTTTCAAATTACTAAATAGGAATTGAAAGGATAATCGAGTAATATATATTATTAATAATAACCTAAGAAAAGACAATAGAGTGTGTATACAAATATCCAAAAATATATAAAAATAATTTTCAATATCTCACAATAAAATATAAGTATCCAAATTAAACCCATAAAACATAACTATAAATCACTACGTAATAGGTAAGCTGTAGGCCTATTTGATATAATTTCTAACTTGACAAATTGCTTTCTTTTTGCACTTACCATTTCTCTGTGGCAGTCCAGAGACCACCATGTATGCGTCTCCAATCGTCTCTACTTTATACACGTTGTATTGCATTATTTTCTCGTCAAATAACCTGTAATACAATAAATTCAATTTAATTTTCCATTCAAATATTCAAGACCTAATTTTTGACAATTTGTGTCAATGTAGTTAAACCAGGAACTCTAAGTTATTAAAGCTTCTATAATATTGTCTGGTTACAGCAACATGATAGCAATAAAAGCAGAAACAATCTTTTTTATAGTTTTTGTCTGTCCATCTGTAAATTTGTTCCTGTATCACACAAAAACTACAGTTGTATTTTTGAAGGTTTAACTCTTTTTGTCTTGATACATCATTTGGTAGTAGTCTATTTTTAATTCCAAAATGCAAGTATTTGACGCCACGAGAAAAAACAAATTTTTAATAGAAACAATCATACTTATATAACATGTTGAGCATATTGATAACTTCCATGGGCGTGCTGGTGGCGGAAATATTTGTGAAACCCACGATATCGCTGAAGAATATGGTGACCGCGTCGAAGGCCTCCGCTGGGACCGTTCTCTGAGCTCGCAGTCGCCGAAGTACTGGCAGTGGTAGCATCCGCGACAGAAGAAGGTCGCTCTTTTGTTTCTCTGCCATAAGCTTCTGTGTGCTTGTGTCGATCGAGCGAGCGAAAGTCTGAAAAGGAACGTTTTGTAAATTTTAAGGACACGAGCGAGCGAGAGTTTGAAGAAGAACGTTTTGTGAATTTAAAATAATGTTCTTAGTTTAGACTTTACCAATCTTAGTAATGAACTTTTCGAAGATTACTGGTTAGTACATTTTCCATATTAACAACAGTGTTCACCATCTTTATTTTATTTATTTTCGTAAATTATATAGGATACAAAAGTAAGGGTATGACGACCGCCATGATTTTTTTTTATACAACTTAGAATGGCAAACAAGCTGACAGTCCACCTGATGGAAAGTGGTAACCGTCGCCTATAGACATGAACAGTACCATGGACATAACAGAGTATACTGTTTCGCCCATGATACCCTCCATGCGTTGCCATTCCTGAAGACTCAGGTGTTATTCCTCTGTACCCAGTAAATTCACGCCATATCCCATCCTTTAAACCGTTTTATTGTAAAAATGTTGTTTTATCAAATATTTCTTAATTGGCCCGGGTCTGATGTTCTGGGTTATGTCCCCAGACGTTCATTACCTCGCTCTCTACAGCACAGGGTATCCTGGATTAAAAACCACACAACTGGTGTGAATGTGTGGCACTTGTTATTATTATATCCATATTGCAAATAAATTTCGCAGAATATTACATTCTAGATGAGAAAAATTGCGTATTAACAGTAAATGATATTCATATTTAGGCTTTACACGCTTTATATTACATGAGTGAAATAAAAGCTAACTGCCATATCGTTATACAACAGTGTAATGGTCTAGTAACAGAGAGTTGGAAATAATTATGTGTTATTTTCCTCTAAAATCATCTAAACTAATATTATAATGAAGAAAGATAATTTGTTTGTTTGTAATGTATAGAGTTAAATAATTTAATCCGTTTGAAAAAATCTTTTTTTCTACAGAAAGCTATATTATCAGCGAGTAATAAAAGCAATATTTGGTTATAAAAAAACATGAGTTCATCATCATCATCATATCAGCCTTCAACCATCCACCACTGAACATAAGTCTCTCCTTTGGAGGTTTTGTCTTTGGCTTTAGAAATGTTTTAAGGAGAACACTGCTGCCCATCCCTCGCCCTCCCTTATCCGCTTTCCACAGAGAAGGAACGGTAGCATATTGTATGCCAGGACCACACAGTGGCAAAAAACATGAGTTATCAAAGCACGGACGAATCTCTAGTACCTTATATTAAACTAGCTGTATCCCGCGAATTTGCCCATGTAAATCAGTACATAAAGTATTCTATGTGCTAAATTTGAATATAATTTATCTGTGTACCAAATTTCATTCAAGTCCATTCAATAGTTTTTGTGTGAAAAAGTAACAAACATCCATTCATCCTTATAATCTACCTGCATTTATAGTATTAATGGAATGGTACAAATCTCACCTCTATAGTCTGTACTATATGACGCAAAAGCAGAACCAAGACGGGAGAAGCTAGCAGTACTATGATGAATATGACGATCCCGACGGCGAGCGTTTGTCTCGCACTCCATACATCTTGCCTTGCTGTAGCTCTAAAAAGAGATATTACATTCAATTAAAACAACACATCGTAGTGGGCACATTCATTACCATCATGTCCACTGTTGAACATAGGCCTCCCCTTTGGGGAGCTCTGCTAGTAGTTGCCACGTTAGGCAGGTGGATTGACAACCGCAGTTAGATTTTGGTGATGTTTTAAGAGGGACGCTGCTGGAGTACTGTTGCAGCGTAAAACAGGCACATTACGAGTACTTAGTATAAACTAGGTCTCGGGCTCGATTTCTGATCGGGTTCATTGAACTTTTCTGAATTAGCTTAAGTTTGGGTCATACCATATCAGGTATTAACTGCCCACTAGTGAACATAGTCCTCCCCCATAGACTGCCTTTGCAATAAGGAATTTTGCCAGCTATTGCCACGCTTAGCAGACAGGTTGGCAACCCCAGTTAGACTTTGGGTATGTTCAAAGATGTCGCTGCTGCCCATCCCTCGAATATTAATTTCTCTTAGCCACCTCTTACGACAACCACGGGAAAGGAAGGGGTAGCCCATTCTATGCCAGGACCACACGATAAGTTTAAATGTTCTGGCTCAAACGCTGATGATCATTGCCGTATTTCTAATAACACAGAATATTCTAGCTTGAGGACCAAAACAATTTAAACAAAAAAGCAAAAAGAATTCTGGGAATATTATTCCATTAATTAAATCGTCAATTAACTGCTTTTTATTATGAAAAGTAATTAAGAGAAGGGTACACGTGACTGAACAGATGTTGCAAAATATTTAATATACACGGATCAATAATTATAATCCGGCGAGATGATACCAAAGTTAATTAAGAACAATTTGAAAATTTTCGTACTCCTAAAACCTCAACCTATCTTTCTATTTAATCTCTAATGCTTTCCCGTAATAGATATAAGAAAGTAGCAAGAAGATAAGAAAGTAGTATAGTAAATCTTACTTGACAGCAGCCCAAAGACGCAACTGCACATTTTTCAGTGAATGCATGTGCTGGTGTAACTTCTTTGTATATAGAATCAGTTCATCCTTTGTAAACGGCATCCCATTTTCCATCAACGAGGGGATATTTGATATTTGATAGCTAAAAAAATAATATATATTTACAATTAAATATGCTTTTCCCATAATGATAAAGTATAAACACATTGGTGTCGATTCCGAAGCACCATTCTCTATCTCTATCTTTAAAAATAATGTTTATTTGTTATTTATTTATTTATTTAAGGCAAACAAACTAGCTCAAATAATACATAATTATATACTTAAATAGTAATTTGGTAGCCAATAGAATTTGCACAAAATAAAATACAAGTAAACGACACACAAAATAAGACAATACTAAATTAAACAAATATAAACAAAAATCAACAAACAAATACTATTGAAAACTACAGCAACATTGTCAATAATAACGCTTAGAAGTTAATAAAACATTTTTCCAGAACAACATGTTATTTGAGAATAATACCTGTATAACCATTAAAAAAATTGATAATAATTTAGAATAAAAAAAAATAGGAAAAATTAAGACTTCTGACTGTATATTAAAGAAAAATTATATAAAAAAGAAATCTTTGACAACAAATTAAAAAAGTTAATTACCTATTACCGCCGTATGCCGTTTTATCTCATTCTTAAACTTTATTTCGATCCTATAAAGGGAACAATATCGGAGAACATATTGTTATAAGTACTCGGTAATCTAACAAATAAAGAATTCTTTCTATAATTGTTAATATGGCGTGGCACATGCAATAATGGTGTATGTCCAGTACGACGCATGGGAGCAACCAGAGACAAAAGTTCAACCAATTCTGCGCAGTCCAATCGACCACGAATCACGTCATATAGAAGACTCATATCCAGCACTTTACGCCGCTCTTCCAGTGTTAGGAGGCCTTAAGCTCGACATGTCGCATCGTATTAGGCCCCTTGATCAGATTTTTTACATTTATAATTGAGATGATGTATAATTTTTTTTTTAATGCCTTCAATGCGATTTATATAAATAGCGTAACACGGAGACCATATTTGAAACGCATACTCCAGCAAGCTACGCACATATACTCAGTACACAATTAGCAAACTTTTTGGGATTAGAGAAAGGTTGACAAGTTCTCAGTACAAAGCCAAGGTTACGATAAGCTTTGCTAATAAATATATCAATATGTGTAGGGACGACCAGATTACGTATCGTATAATTTTTTACAATAGGTAGACCATTAAAATTATAAGGAAAATCTATGGGTGCTTTTTTCTTGTAAAACTTATATGATGCCATTTTGAAATATTGACCGTAATTCGATTTCCAGTAAAATAATCAAATAGCCTATTAAGATCGTTTTGTAAAAACTCACAATCAGTGATGGATTGTATCCGCATATAGATTTTTTGTCATCAGCATATAGTAGATATTTTGCATTTAGAAAAACCTGATCTATATCGTATACATACGCATTATAAAAGAGAGGACCAAGGTGCGATCCCTGAGGTACGTACTCCAGAAGGAATAGAGATGAAGTCAGATTAGTAACCGCCTGCAAACGATTTGTTAGATAAGACCGAACCCATCGTAACAGATCGCCATGAATGCCTAAGCATTCTAACTTACGAAGAAGTATATTATGATCCACGCGATCGAAGGCCTTTTCTATATCAGTGTAAATCACATCTACTTGCCCACCATTCTCCATTTCGCAAAGAACAAAATTAGAAAAGATGGCTAGATTAGAAATAGTGGAACGACCCTGGAGAAATCCATGTTGGTTTCGTGATAAACCCCTAGCTATAAGAGGGTACATGTGTTTATATATTAATTGCTCAAATAACTTACTGACAGCGATAAGGATTGACACAGGACGATAGTTGTTGATCAATTGTTTAGAGCCCTTCTTGTGAATAGGAACTATTTGTGCCTGTTTCCAAATAGTTGGATAACTACATTCATTAAGAGATCTTTGAAATAGAAATAGAAATAGTTATTAATAATAAATAGAAATAGTTATTGGGCGGGAAAGACTGTTAGCACACGAAGCTAAAAAAACTGGAGGAACAACATCTGAACCAGCTCCTTTGTTTTTGTTAAGCGTATGAAGTAACTTTAATACAGATTCTTCTGTTATATTAATGTGAGATAATGTATCCTGACATAATTGAAAATCTTCAGAGCATGTAGAGCTACTTGTTCCAGTTGGTGGTATGAAAACGCTCTCAAAGAAACTATTAAACGCTTTACAAATATTCTGCCCATCCGAGTAATGGTGATTATTAAGAGTAAATTTTTTAGGGTAGTTAACCCTAAAAAATTTACATCAACAACACATCCTTTTTTAGACTTAACGTATTTCCAAAAATTTATTTTGGAAATACGTTATTCTATGGACCAGTATAAACTATTTATTTGTAGAATTGCATCATAACTGCTTTACATTTAATACTATTTTCTGTTTGCTGTAATAAATTTATGTATGTATTATACATATTCACTAATAATAGAAAATATAATGTCACGTATATGTAAATTCCATATATTGTTTGATGTAAATTTGCACGCCGACATAGAGGCAGACTGTATACGAGAAATTTCAGCCTCTATTATCTAAAATTACCTCCTTTCTAGCGAAATAAATTCATTTCATTTCATATCATTTTCTTACTTGATGGTTCATACCATTATAGTTTTGCTAAACTATCAAATTAATATTATGATTTTAGAGCTAAGCTTAGGAAATAGTACTTCAGAATCGCCCCTATCCTATCCTATATCCTAGAGACGGGAGAATGGAATAATATTACGTACTATACATTAGTAAATATAAGAAAAACACGAAATAAAGTTATATATAGCAAGTCACTTGGCCATAACCTAAAACTCTTGTTTACACTTTGATAATGGTAAGGTAGTTAAATGTCCTACTAGGTTAATATCCTCCATTTATGAGACATTTGCCCCATATTTTTTATGCAACTTAAAATGGTAAACAAGCTGACCGTTCGCCCAATGAAAACTGAGTAACTATGGACTTCACTGAACAAACTGTAATGCTCGTATTACCTCTCACGTGCCACTATCCGCGACAGCTAAGATGTTGTCTCCGTACCCTGTAATTGCACTACTATATTCCATTCTTCAAACCGAAATGCAACTATTAAAACACAGCTGCTTTGCAACAAATACACGGAAGAGAAGAGCCCACGCAAATGACTTGTACAAAGCTCCCTCTGCTTATAATGATAGTAAAAATTAAAGCTTTCATTTTGTTCATATCTACATAGATAAAAAGTATTCTGTCTTTCAAGTCGGAGCAAATAATACAAATTTTCATGTCACTAAAATCAGTTGAGCTGTTTCGGAGATAAGCGTGAAGAAAGATTACAACACGAAATTATTATATATTAAGATTTATTTATATCATAAGGTATCATGGGCGAAACAGTATACTCTGTTATGTCCATGGTACTGCTCATGTCTATAGGCGACGGTTACTACTTTCCATCAGGTGGGCCATCAACTAGTTAGCCATTATAATTAGTATAAAAAAATCTAGAATAATTTTAGCTCTATTTTAACATATATATATATATACACTTAAGAATGAATGAATATATAAAATTCATAACATACATTTAGATAATCACAATTACAATCAGTTAGAATCAGTTTTTTTTATGGGTGAAAATGGTATGGTATGGTATGGTAACCCCGCCTGCGCTAACGGGATACGCTGGCAGGGCACCAGTGAAGGGTAATAGATGAGAATAAAAACAGGCCAGTTAGCCCATCATGATGAATTCATCAGGAATTAACCATGATAGTTTTCAGGAGGAACCGCGAGGAGGTCGACCTGGTTGGGTATATTGCTAGCAATGGGATTCTCAGTCTCTATTACTAACAATCCCTTTCCCCCCAATTAGAATCAGTTAGCAATCTATTGTTTTTTGCTACCTCAATAGAAGATAGGCGTGACAGATATGTGTAGTCACTTACGTATTTAGAATTTGTTCCAAAATATGAATATCTTCAACCATTTTCTCCAATTGAAGGTACTGTAGTGTAGTCTGTAAATGCTCCAGCATCGACATGTGGTAGTTCTGGAAGGTGGCCAGGGAATATTGATCCGGTTCCACATTGGTGAGATGAACAGCCGTCATGATAGTCAAGGAGAGACCTTCCATGGTCTTAAGTAGTTCGTAATAAGACGAAATTTGGCTGGAATACACATTTTATGTTATTCTATCAAGTTTCAGAATACACAGCTTCATTTCAGTGGTCGTTATCTCAGACAATACGAGTAAATTTTACAATTATAATAAAGTTAACATGATAAGTATAAAACTTTTGTTATGCTCCCTTTTCCAACACTAGCTAGTATCATAATATTGAGTAGATCCCTTCCTTCCCTATCTATCAAATCCTGAGCTATCAAACGCATTTTTTTTTTATTGAACTAGTAGTTCCAGAGATTATTGCGTTTTTTTTTAATGGGCGATAATGAAATGGTAACCCCGCCTGCGCTATCGGTATTCGCTGACGGGGCACCAGTGAGGGGTGATAGGTGAGGATGAACTCAGGTCAATTAGCCCTTCGTGACAAATTCCACTAGAATCAACCACGTTGGTTTCCAGGGGGAACCGCGTGGAGGTCGACCTGATATGAATACACCCTGTATTGCCAGCATTATTAATAATCGCCTTTCCCCCCAAGATTATTGCGTTCAAACATCTAAACAAACTCTTTGACTTTATTATACCAGTATAAATTACAAATATTTATGCCTGAGGATATTTATATTATGTAATGCTTTTATTATGATTAAACAATCATGTATCATCATCATCATCATCATCATTCTCCTCTTACTCCGGTGATATAAATTTTGGGGTCGGCGTAACATATTTTTATCCATATTACCCAAGGTTTTGGTTTTTTATTTTACAACCGGCCGTCTGCCAGATGTCGTCCCTCCAATCACATATCATTATAATATTAATTAAATGGGGGAAAGGGATTATTAGTAATGGGGTCTAATGAACCCATTGCTAGCAATACACTATCAGGTCGACCTCCACGTGGTTCCCCCTGGAAACAATCGTGAACAATTCTTGTTGAATTCATCACAATGGGCTAACTGACCTGCTTCATCCTCACCTATCATCCTTCACTGGTGCCCCGCCGGTGTATACCGTTAGCGCGGGCGGGGTTACCATTCCATTATCACCCATTAAAAAAAAAAATTAAGTGGCGTTTAAGCATGAGAACTTCCTGAACCTTTCAAATTGGTTAACAATTAACAATTATTTGTAATGATTATGTTTATTTCACTTACCGCCACAATCCCAATGTAACCGATTTCATACTCTTCATTATGTATAATAACAAAACTGAATTTATTTCTTTGTATACTGATAACCTCCTGAACATGTTCAGTGATTTTACATCTCTGAAAAAGGAAACACATTGCACGATTTATAAGGAACGACCGGCGATTAAATGCGCCTAAGAGTGCATTGCATTACGGAATTTGTGCGAAAAACGGATTGGAAAATAATGACAATATTTATTGAAGTAAATTCTTAATTATAAGCTTTTTGAATAGTTATTTTTTACAATTGTACCACTCAATTTGGAATGTAACATTCTTAGCAGTGAAGAATGAGAAAAAAAATAAGCTTTAGCTTTTTTCATGCATTGGATGATAAACATTCAAACATATATTGTTAAAAATTTCGTAAGCACACGTTATATTTTAATAAAATAACTACCGATTTAACTTACGTGTTATTAGATCAAAAAAGCTCGACAGAGTTCATACCCGAAGAGTCCCGAACCCCGTCTTTCTTATCTGTGACGATGCCGTAAGCGCCTACAACCCGCGGTCAGCGAGCCGAGGCATGGAGTCAGGCTCGTGCTCGCGTCACAGTTGCTCATGTCTAAGAACCACGATTTGATTCCGAAACTAGTCGAGTTTTTTCAATCTACTTGTAATTACATGTAATTTAAACCGGTAGGTATTACATTAAATACATCGGCAGCTGACCGCACCTAGTGAATACGCGTACAGTTCTTAGAATTGTCAAAGTAACAAAGTCGTTTTATATTTCATGCTTATTAACGTATAAAATATGAACTTTAATTATTTTCAATGTATATTTCTTTGTACTACATTATAAAATGGACTCAGGTGTGCGTCGACACGCACCGTTTGATGTAAATAATTCATAAATTCCTGATGTTGAATATAATTTTCCTAACACCTGTTGCTTTCGTAGAGATTCGCAATTTTTTCCTACTATTTTTTATAAATCAATCTTATATAAATAAGATATAATATAAAGTATAAATAATTATACATCATACTATAGATATTATAATTTTATTAATATAAGTAACAACTTAAATTCCGTGCGTTGTCGTGTCGCTGCCAATATTATTCGCGGTGTATTGGAATTTGTCGACATAACTCAATAAAGCGTGTTCACTATATGTATGTACATTCTCATCGAACAAATTCCAACATCTCGAACTTAAATCCTTTAATCTAACGTAGACAAGGTTGTCTCGAATACGCCTGTAAAGTTTTCATTTTACTTAATTACTAACGACTCGCCTTGGCATCGCACAGTTTTGTGAAAATAAAATACAGCTAAGTATAAGTAATAGTTCTAAAGTACAGTATAAACACTCCCTGCCGCCCGCCGCAAAACCTCACCCCCTCTCAAACACGCCACAATTACCATACTTTACTGGATGTCTCTAGTCTACGTATCAATTGGCGCCAATGTCAAAGAAGGATAGAGGATACAATATTTACGAGGTATGAAGAGGATAATGTTATCGCTGAATCCACATTATAAGTTACAATACATTGAAGCACGCGCTTTTGCTCACACACATTGTCACATGTACGTACAGATGTTACTTGTTCCTCTAGTTGTGACAATCATAAATAGCGGCGTTTTTGTATAAAGTGTCCGGGGTGCGATATAACATTTTTTTTTTATATAACTTAGAATGGCAAACAAGCTGACGGCCCACCTGATGGAAAGTGGTAACTGTCGCCTATAGACATAAGCAGTGCCATGGACATAACAGAGTATACTGTTTCGCTCATGATACCCCCCATGCGTTGCCATTCCTGAGGACTCAAGTGTTATTCCTCTGTACCCTGTAAATTCACGCCATATCTCACCCTTCAAACCGAAACACAGCCATGCAAACACAACTGCTTTACGGTTGAAACACGAATAGGACAGAGGTACCCAAGCAATCGACTTTTGTACAAAGTCTCCCTCTGGTAAAACCTATGTTACTCACTTATAATGGAGATTCCGTAGGAAATATTTATAAAATCGATTAAGTACTTTTTTTATTAAATTTACCCATTACAAAAAAAAACTTTCCCCTTTATAATATTAATTTCGACAAACGAGATAAAGTTATTGGGAGTATGTATATGTTTCAAATTTCACAGCTGTATTCGCAGTTAACACCACCTGCTTCTAAATTATTTCGAGCAAAATGTTGCAAGTTCATTTATAAAACGCTAAATGTATGTTAACTGTCGAACTTTCTCAACAAAAAACACACATAAGTCAATCTGATTATATATACATAAGTACGTATCTGCTACGCCAGTTTCCCATTGGGGTAGGCAGAAAGAATATAACATATGCGATTCAAAATGACCTTTTCCGCTTACTCCACATTCCTCAATCTATTCATACACGCTCATCGGTTACGGATATCTTTAATTTGACCCTTCTTCAACACGTCGCCTATTCAGTCAACGTACGTCCGTTCATGATGGTGCCTAATGACATATCAATTCATTCGGGCTCGATAAATCTCCTTCGTAATTCTTCTTCCATCTTTTCCAAATTGCCAAACCAAATGCAACATTCCCTTTTCAATTTGTGTCACTACATTATCTTTCAGTCCACACTTTTCTCTAATTATATTACTTCTCACTTTACTTAAAGTTCTTAAATCTACGACGTTTACCTTGCTTTCATGCTTTTTCTGTCATACATACGATTCACTTCCATTCATGAGTATTGGTGTTAGTACTGAATTATAGCAACGCGAGCCTTGAGGGGGGAGAAGGGATTGTTAGTAATAGCCTCATCACTAGCAACATACCCTGTCAGGTCGCCACCCTCCTCGCGGTTCCCCCTGGAAACCATCGTGCTGAAATCCAGATCTATTCATCACTATGGACTAACTGACCTGCTTCATCATCACCTATCATCTCTCACTGGTGCCCCGCCGGTGTATACCGATAGCGCAGGCGGGGTTACCATTCCATTATCATCCATTAAAAACAACGCGAGCCTTGCTCAATATATTTTAAAATAAAGTGACATATATTGATCTTACAACATAAAAATAGTAACTTGAATTAAGTTGATTAGCCAAATGTAAAATAACTTGTATGTAAAAACTAGCCAATCCAATGTTGAGTCTCCATTTATCCTAGGTTACTTACTTTATGTAAATAATTCGACTGTTCTTTAAGAAGTTATATTTTTACAAAAAATAAAATAATAAAACTCGTTTTAAATTTATTACAGCGTGTTGCGTATTCTTTCAAATAAATTTTAGGATTATCTACGGAATACGCGCCTATTTATATCTAAATTTTTTGTCAGCAAAGTCGACAACTACACATAATCGTAATGTTGAATTGGTTTCCTTTTTTACATTTCTATTTTTGATGGACTGCTTTTTTACAAGAATACAATATTAATTTAATTTATTATAAAGAAGGAAAGTTTGGTTATTTATAATAATAATTGTAATGGATAAACTCAAAAACTACTCAGCCATTTTTACAAATTCTTTTACCTATAGAAAGTCAGCTTATCAGCGCATAATATAACCTACATATTATTTTCGAAAATTCTATCTACCCGCGCAAAGCCAGGACGGATCGCTAGTATCTAAGAATTATAATATTCATAATACAAGTACTTAGATGTATGATATTGTGTTTTTCCGGGACAATATGATTTAAATGCATGGAAACAACCCATTTCGGAAACCAATTGCAAACAACAAACTTGGCGATACAAATAGCGATTTTGGCCGGCTTAGCACGGGTAGAATTTTCTATATATATATATATATATATATATATATATATATAGATGAAAAATTTTTTGAAATTGTTTATTTAGTTTTTAAGTTTATGCATTACAAATTATCAAACAACCAAATCTTTCCTCTTTATAATATTAGTACAGTTTGTTCTATATCGACAAAATTTTCTTTTTAATAAAAGAATATATAAGTTATATAAAAAAAAAATATCGCAAATTATTCATTCAGTGATTTTAACGACGTTTAGCTTGTTTGTAAAATAATTAGTTATGAATTATCTAGACTGTAAGTAATTCAATTCTCGTTAACTATATGTGATAGCTTTTAATTAGCGTATTGTTGTCATATAAATTCCCTAAAAAAAATAAACAAATAAATTATATTTGATATCCTAAAAAGAGAATACGATATAGTCCTCTTTATCTCCAACTAGTGACCCGCCCCGGCTTCGCACGGGTGCAATATTTGCTTCTGTAACTTTTAAACTGTTCAACACATTTTAGTAAGGGTGGTATTTTGTCGTCTGAAAACACTGCATTCATATGCTCTAAGTATTTAAAATGAACAGTTTATACAATTTATTTTACTTTTAACATAAAAATCATCTCTTTGAGATATCAAACCTAGATATATGATGATGCGGAGTTATTTGTAAAACTGAAAGTAATACATATTTTTTCTATAGATTTTATTCCTTTATTTCAAACCGTCCAGGCACCATAGTATAGATTATAGATAGATATTTTTGCCGACTTCAATTTACATTTATTGTGATTACTTATTAAAAATATATATTTACTAAAATAAAAAATAGTCTTTAACATTCAAAGATGGTATACCTTTATAACAGTAAAAATTTTCAAAAGCAGATCAATAGTACCGGAGATTAGCTCGAACATCCAAACTCACAGACTTTACCTCTTTACAATATCAGTATGTGTAGTACCTATAACAATCTGTAAATATAAAAAATTCTGAAGAAATGTTTTAAAAATCTAGGTCACAAATAGTGTCGAATTGCTGTTGTTCAGCGGAGAGCGGGGACACATTAGCAATTGCCAACTCCGGAAATTCCTCAATGGCGGAACTCATTAATCTTCTAAATACAAAAGGTCGTAAACAGGTTCTGTTATTTGGACTGGATTAATTAAAAAATATCTCTTCACTAACTTTTACCTGCGACTTCACCCGCTTGACCGGGATATGTTGATTAATCGATTTACGATAATGATTACATAGATAGAGCACAAAGTATCCAAAACGAATCAAATAAAACAAAATTGTTAGTTACGTTGACATTTAGCATACTGTATTTTAATATTTTATAAATTATTATTAC